GAATAGGGTGTGTATGGGGAGCATGAGTGGGTGTCCGGCGTGCATTTTTATAAGTCTTCGGTTGTGTGTGCATGTGTGAGCATGAGGGAGGGAGTGTGTGACTGTGTTTGTGTATGACTGTATATGTCAGGTGGGGCCTTTGACTCCTCCCCTCTCCTGGAACTTCTTTTGATGATATAGATCTTTGTCCCCCCTCCCCCTGCCACACCTGGTGTGAGGGGTTGTGCCATGGTCTGCCTGAGTGTTCGTGGTAACCGGGTCTGGGGGTTTAAGATTTTGGCATCTGCCTGATAGATCCCTGTGGCTGCCTGGTGGGGTCTGGGTCCCTGGGCTCTGCTGGGTCCCCGGCGGGGGTGGTCGCCCCTGGGTCCCGGGTCGCTGGGTCCCGGGCTCGGCCGGCTAGGGAGTGGGAGGCTGCGGGCGGGCCTGTGGGCTTGCCGCTGATGTCTCCCGGGACTCTGCCGGCTGCTGGTTGTGGCCCCCCGGGGCGATCCTCTGTGCCTCTCGAGGGGGGCGGGGGCCTTCCTGGTTGCAGTCTCCTTGGGGTTCCTGTGTTCTGGGGCAGCACCTGGATCTCTGGGACTTTGAGCTCCCCCCGTCTCCTGCGCATCTTTGGGGGGCGGATCTGTGGTCCCTCACACTCTCTGTTGGATGCTCCTAGAGAAACCTTAAATAAACAAGCGCGTGTACACACACAGGTGCTCACATGGTGCTCTCAAAAGTATGGGCTTGGGCATGTTAAACACAGGTCTTAAGACTATGGTGGGCACTTAATGCACTGTGATTTATTATCGTGATTCTTCAGTTAAGCAATGTTGATTATATATTTTTTTCATCAAGTTGACGCAGTGATAGCTAGATCTTGTTGTATTGTTGTTGTGTCCCTTTTTTTGTCCTTTTGTTTTTTTTTTTGTCTTTTTCTGCAGGTCTAGAAGCAGACTCTTGTTCATTGTTTATTTTTGTGGAACCCCCCCTCCTCTCTCCCCACCTTTTCTTTTCTCTTTCACCTCTGTCTCCGTGTCTGGTCGGAATTACAAAGCATTCAACAACAATAACAATAAAGTTTTAAGTATCAGGCGTGACATTAAAAGCAAACGCTTTGATGCTCCACCTGAGAATAAATCTAAAAGGCTTGTCACCATCATTCAGACATCAATTCTGCTTGCTTCACAGCCAGACAGGACATGGTAAAAAAAAAAAAAAAAAAAAAAAAAAAGTTTGAACCTTGGTGTCTTGTAGCAGTTTTTAAGACTTTATTTTTGTAAACTTTCAGACGTTTTTATTTGATGTGGTAGACCTTGAAGCAGCTTCTCTCCAGCTGCAGGCAGAGTCCTGCACACCTCACACTGCCATGGGGTGCTTCTCTGGCACACCGTGCACTGCAATACCAAAAACGTTTGTTTTAGCAAAAATAATTATTTATTGTAAAAAGATAAATAATGCTGGAATGATGCTGAATCTTACAATTAGCAAATAGTTGAGGGTTGTTCAAATAAAAAAATAAAAATTAAAGACTGAACAAACGTTCATACCCTGGTTCACTGGAGATCTGTCCTTCTTTGTGGTCACTGTCTTCAGATATAAGCCTTCTGGGACACCTAATAGATCGTGTTGATTTTCTTTGAGGCATTTCCATAATTTCATGCTGGCTTTTTATGCTGATTAGCTTCCCCGTTCCGTTATCCACTTTCACCGCGGCGCTGCGCTCCGTTTCAATCAGGCTGTACAGCAGGATTTCCCCTCATAGCCAGGGGCGTAGCACCAAATTCTGGGCCCTAGGTACAAGTCTTCTAGGTGGGCCCCCATGCTCAGTTACTTAATATCTCTCTTACACATTTTTTGTCATGCTATAAGACAAGATAATAAATATGATCTTAGTTTAACCTCTATATTGAGCAAATACAAATGCCAGCATAATAAAAGTGAAATGCCCAGACTTCACATATAATTATTTTTATTTGCCAACAATGTGTTCAAACAAAAATCCTGGAATTTATTTTCCAGTAAATGCCCACTGACGGGTCTTCATGTTAGCAAAATCACTTATGAGATCTTTAAAGTCCAATCCTTTGGCTAATTGGCTTTCAATAGAAAGAAGAGCTAGGCTGTTCAGTCTATCCTGGGACATTGTTGGTCTCAAATAATTTTTCACCAGTTTCAGTTTGCTAAAAGCCCGTTCACCCCCAGCAACAGTCACAGGTAGTGTGCAAAATATCCTCAGTCCAATACAAACTTCTCCAAAAATGCTCTGTAATTGCATCCTGTATGGCATTAAGCAGCTCAAGAGGAGACCGAATGTGTGGAAATGTGGCACCATATATTGTTCTCAGGTGTAGCATCTCATTCTCAAATTCAGCTGTGAGATTCTTGTAATATTTTCTCATCAGTGCCTGGCATGATATCTTCATCTGCTCTTCAGTCATGTCTGTCATGGTTCATGATGTTAAGCTTTGCTAATACTGATATATATTGATATATTAAATACATATGACATGAAATAAACCAGGTTCTCTCTGTGAATGTAATGTACTCTAAATTTTATAATCCCTGCATTATCAGCCAAATTATAAGATTGTCCGTTTTCAAGATCAAATATAAAGAAATTTAAAATAGGCTTAAAATATCTAACCAAGTCAATAACAATCCTCTAACACCAGTGTCATCATGCTATACGAAAAACAGTGGCAGCTTCACGTTCCTGAGATTACCACAAATCCATCGATGCCAAGTTTGTCCTGGTCCATGACTGGGAAGGAGCTGAAATATCCACACAGAGTGAACCTGTTTTTACGCGAGGTCCGCGAATTAATTGGCGGCGGCCGCCCGCGATAATAATTCTGATTAATATATATATATATTAATTAGTGTTTTCACTGATAACACTAATTAATTTATATTTGATCTTGATGGTGAAGCTAAAGGCGTTTAACACTGAACACCTAACATGAATGCAGCTTCTGAGAGCTGGCTAATATCAGCTAAAACTGTGTTCTGCTGCTGCTGCTCACCATCCTTCTTGAAAAACCTAGTCAATACTTGCTTCTGTTCTATTAACTTTTCCTCCTTCTCCTTCTTTTCTTTTCTTTTCTGGAAGCCAGATTTCCCTTTCTTGGGAAAAGACATGACTGACTCTCCTGCCTCCAGCTCTGGCTGTTGGCATCTGCGATGTCTCATTAGCTGTACATGCGGCCGTGCAGCCCCTGGCCGCTGGTGTGGATTAAACCACTTTGCACATTTTTAAGGGGTGATAGATGCCTCAGAGATTATTCAGTTATTATTTTTAAGGCGAAATTCTGTTTCTTAACCCCTTTATCCAGGTAAAGGGAAGTTTATTAAGACATTAAGTAAGTTGGGGGGAAAAAACAACAACAATAAAACATTTTTATTCAAAGCTGTCTCAGGGCCCCTCCCTGCAGTGGGCCCTGGGTAAACGGTACCCTTTCCCCCCCCCCAGTCCGACGCCCCTGCTCGTAGCGATATTTTCCCTAACTCTGATTGCTTCATGCTATAAATCGTTGGAAAGCTGCTTTTATGTACTTTTAGGAACCGTTGGAATTTCCTGGATCTGATCAGCCATTCAAAAGTTATAAAATGGAGCATTTTGGATGACAAACTCAGCACGTCTCTGAATCTTTGTTGTGATTTGGTGCGCTCAAGACAGGGAATCCCGGTGGTGGCTACCGTAATGTATTGTATATGCACGAAAAGCCCCATTTTTAATCTTTTCAGCACTTTTGGAATTTTAATGATATCTTGAACGGTTCAGGAATTATGGTAATGAGAAGTGCGCATGTCCAATCCCGTCTGCGGCCACAGGTTGGTAATAAGAATATTGTGGCATTAACAGAGGGGTGCTGGCGGTCAGGGCTAGGGGGCCCCAGGCGGCCGCCTACCTATGCCTAATGGTAAAACCGCCTCTGGGCTTGTTACCAGCATTCAGACATCAATTCTGCTCGCTTCACAGCCAGACAGGACATGGTAAAAAAAAATAAATAAAAAATTGTCTAAATGGAACACAATGAATTACACACTGAATGTATGACAGTGCCCACTTTCCCTGAGACACACATTAGACATCACACAAATTTGAGACAAAACATTTTATTTTTACATATATATATATATATATATATATATATATATATATATATATATATATATATATATATATATATATATATGTAGCTCCCTGGGTTACACAGTTTACTTAAAACCCTTCAATGTAGTAAACCAGGTTTGACATGACTTTGTATCAACATAAACAGTGGAGAGCATCCCCGCCAGTCACACGGCACACTGGGGTTTGATTACATAGCAGGGAGCCAGTCAGGATGGCCGAGCGGTCTAAGGCGCTGCGTTCAGGTCGCAGTCTCCTCTGGAGGCGTGGGTTCGAATCCCACTTCTGACAAGGTTTGGTTTTGTTTTTTCAGTGAACATATCAGGGGGCACGGGAGAAAACGTGATGTAGAGTGAGAAAGACAGAGAGCATGTTGTAGACGGAGCTCGGTTCGGAGTCCATTAATAAAAGAGGTTCCAATGCTATTTCCACAAGTCAGTGGATTCATGACAATAATAATAAGTAAAATATAAAGATGATGGCAGAAACTTACAGGATAACACAGTTGCTGCCATCCTATCACATCCACAAAGTGTTGTTTACATGAAATACTGAGCCAGTCATTTGTATTCAGGATAATTCTACTAACATGAACAAGATCTGGTGATAACACTGGGAGTGTCCTGGAAGTGTCAGACCTGAGTCTCTCTTTACATTTGCACTTTTTTAGGACTGAATATCATTGAAAGACTCAGGTCAGATGCTTCTAGGACTCACCCAGTGTTATCGCAAGATCTTGTTGTCATCAATAAAAAATCAACAATCCACTTTTAATCATGCATGAATGCTAAATATCAATTCACAATATTAAAGTGTATTGATGTTTTCTTACATCTCCAATTGTAAATATCTGACTTTTTTAAAACAAACCAACACCGCCTGATAATAGGTTGAATGTTTACTGAAATACTTGCTTTATTTTCATGAGTTACAGAATCGGATGGATGCCAGGTGTACAGATCAGATCTGAGGTCAGGGCATTCTGTCGTCTGACTTTGATTTATGCTAGCAAATCTGAACACAAACAATCTGTTACAGCTGTTGTACCTCTTTTCTCTTGAGGACCCCCTTTCCTGTATCCAAGACAAGGCATGACCCCCAACACCCACTCCTACCGACATACATGCACAAAACATGATTCATTACAAACTTTATACAGACACAGAGAGTTAAAACTCTTACGTAGTAGAGGTGTGCATCTTTACCAGTGTCGCGATTCGATTCGGTTACAACTACTGGGTCAACGATTCAGTTTGATATCCCAATGGTTCACAATTATTTCACATAGATTTGTTTTCACCGATAAATAGAAGATGTTTATGTATTTAGCAGACGCTTTTGTCCAAAGCAACTTACAAGAAGATGTCAGATATGTGCTTTTTTCAAATCAAAAACATGTCTGCCATCCCCCAAAAGCTCTTCATTCGCACAGTCCTCAGGACAATGCAAACGTGTAAAACATTTTTAACATTTAAGATGATGAACCAAAGTAAAAAATAAAATAAAATCTGTTTCCTCATTCAACAGCATCTCATCATCTGCAGAGCATGTTTCTCCCACAGCCTAACAAAATCTAAAAAAATACTGAAAACCTATTGGACATGTCCAGTTCTTGCCTTTAAGTTATAACAACTCACTCTCACTCTGAATAAAGTTCATCTTCCGTGAATCATAAATGAAATTTAAAACTTGATAATTGCAAACATGTTATATAATCATCTCTTGTTAAATCCCAAAGTGTTTGAATAATGTGTGCATTAATAAATTACTGTATGTGTTAAAATTAACATTTTTCCTGCAATGATTCATTTCAGATCTTAAACTACACCAGATCAGTATTTGTTGATTTAACAAATTAAATAAGGTTAAAGATATCATGGTTTCCTTGTTCAGTGTCCGATGGTGTTTGATCATCTGCCACCACCATCACAGCATCCCTCTCAGCTCCATTTTTGTATCCTCTGGGAGTGACCAGACACATGGCGTGGCTGAGACTGGAGTGATGGGAGCTTCCCATTAGCCCTCTTCAGAAACCTACTGGTGATGGTGTAGACTAGTTTGTCCATCTTATATACAGTCAATACATTTCACATTTGTTTCAGTTTCATGGTTATATGGTAAATGATTATTTTTATTCAAATACTGTTAGTTTGTCAATGGATACAGTTTGAACTGTGATACTGTTGTAGTGATATAAACTATAACTCGGGATATAGCAATCAGTAAAAAAAAGTTGAAGGGAAACTATGTAGTTTTAGGTTGCTTTAAGCAACCCCTAAAGTCTGTTTAACTCACTGTTGTGAAACTGAAAGTGAAACCTATCTGTTTGGTTTTTAAACACATCAATCTAACGGCTGATAGGTCTCCTCGGCCTTCAATAGTTTCTACAGGATTGGTTCATTACTAAATATAACAAAACAGCTGTGGTCATGATCTAAAATATACAGAAAACTTGCTGGAAGCAGATTGGCAGGTGAGCTCCACTTTATTATGTCCAACAGGGACCATAGAGCAATATTCTGGCCCCAGGTAGTGGTGGGGATCTGAGTGACATTTCAATAGCCCTGTATGGGGTCATTTTAGCACGTAGTGGCTCAAGAAAATTATGTAAAAATATGAAAATGTGGCATAGTGTGGCTTTAACAGTTTTTTTCTCACAAGCTGTAATAAGGCTAAATAGTAGGTTAAGGTTGTAAATTTATAACTTTAAAAACATTGTCTTAAGTTTATTGTTGAGTTGAAAATGGTTTGGTGATGTGGTGCACGGCTCAGCGAGCTCTTGCCCACACATTAAAGGGAGCAGGAACACGCGTAACTCCAGTTATTCCTTCTGCACTCAGCTCGACTCCTTCAGGAACAGAGAAGGAGAACTTCTGCAGCAAGCCGACCAAAAACAGAAAGAGCTCCATCTTGGCGAGGCCTTCTCCAAGACACACACGTTTCCCTGCAGAGCACACACACACACACACACACACACACACACACACACACACACACACACACACACACACACACACACACACACACACACACACACACACACACAAATATTTGACAATTCAAACAAATAAAATTACACTTTTGTCTTATAAATAATTTTAATTGCAGTTTAAGTTTTTTTTTAATACAGAAATAATCTGACATTCTGCTGGTCATTTCTGATATAAAAAAAAATCAGTGAGTGTAATGTACCAGCAGAAAAGGGCAGGAAGGCATCAGGCTTCACAAACTTCCCACTTGCATCCAGGAAGTGACCAGGATTGAAGGCGCCTGGAGTCTCCCATTCAGATTTGTCAAACAGCACAGAGGTCAGGACGGGCAGTACAGTTGTACCCTAAAAAACAAAATCCACAAAATGACAAAAAAATTAAGTGCAGAAACATCACATAACAAATTACCAAGTATTTGCTGAGTAAGTGTACCTTTGGTATGAAGTAACCTCCCAGAGTTGTGTCCTTATAAGCCATCCTGAGTCCATTAAGAGGAACTATGTTTCCAAACCTCTGGATTTCATGGATCACAGCTTCAGTGTAAGGAAGATTTATTCTGTCAGCCATAGAGGGCAAGCGGGTCCCTCCGATTATGGTGTCAATCTCCGTTTGGATCTTCTCTTTTTAATAAAAAGAAAATAGAAAATCATCTGGTAGAGAAAATTATATAAATGTGGTAGAAAATGTATTTGTGCTCTGGCTCCATTTCACCCATTGTTTTCTGATGGTCTGCTACACCCCTCTGTCCTTCCTCACTGGCCAGGCTGTGCCAGACATTATGATCAGTCTCTATTTTATATTGTGGCTAAAAGAGCTGGACTACTATAAATTAAATGGGGGCTCATCCAGGATGTTTCTTGGACTTGTTAAAGACACCAAACCTGGAGTTTTACAGATAATGTTGAGTGGTGTTTCTTGTAGTCTGTACTGTACCTGTGGTTTAAGTGGCTTGTGCATTTTGCTTGTGGTTAGGGTAAGAGTTAGGGCTATGGTGGTAAGCCCTTCCAGTCTGTTTTGGTGCAGGTTTGTTACTTTAAACTAGCATTTACATATTGTGTTTTTGGGGCATTTGACTAGATGCCCATTTTACATTTTTACTGGATTTGTAGGTCCCAAAATAACTGAAGTGCATTTGTGTTTGAGTACTTCTGTTGTAGAAAGTCCAGCCCACTTGTGTTGGATCCCTTTTGGAAGTTGCTGGCTGTATGACAATGCAGCTATATCAAACGAGACTTGTGTGATAATTTTGTGTGGGTGTGGCTAACAGAATAGCATATTCTACAGTTGGCGTCACTGCACAACTGCTGCTGGGTGCTCAATCAATCAATCAATCAATCAATCAACCAACCAATCAATCAATCAATCAATCAATCAATCAATCAATCAATAAATCAATCAGTCAATCAACCAATCAATCAATCAATCAATCAAATTGTATTTATACAGTGCCCTCCACCAACCTTGTGGGAGCCCAAGGCGCTAAACACAACATGGAATAAAATCACAAAAGAACAAGAATAATAAAAACAACAGTAAAACAAATAAATTAAAAGGTCATAACACAAGCAATTACAATAAAATCCCATCACATAAAAATGTGTCTTCAGGTGACTCTTAAAAACCTGCTGTGATGGTGACTGTTGGGTAAAAACAGTATTGGATATAAACGGTATGGAAATGATTTTGTCTAGGTACCATCTAGTGATTTAAATTAAAAGAAGGTTCGTATTTTGTTATCACTCTGTAGCTCCGGCAGGGAGGTGTTCGACCTTGCTTTGCAGGTCTGCAGGTCCTGTTATCAGAAAGCTCTCTAGTGAAGTCCAGACGAAGATTTCTCTGTTATACTAAGCACCTGGGAATGTTTTTCTCCCTGGGTGAGAGTCTGTGAAGGGAGTGGGTGTGTTTATCTATTATTGTGTGTGTGCTATGTAATTTCAATAAAACCTTTCTGCAGGTGTTTGCCAGTCGAGAGACCGAACAGACAGACAATTGGTGTGTACCTTCTTTCTCTCCGATTTTGCAAAGTCTGATGGTTGATTATTGGTGATTGATTATTGGTAATTGGTATTGATAATCTATAACCTGATAACTCTAACCCCCTTGTGTGTGTTGGACTTTCTTTGAGGTAATCCTGGATTGAATAATAAAATTACCCAACATTTTGGTGCCGTGACCCGGATCACGGGAGACGTTCCGTGTTTTAGCGAGAGGGCTCGGACCTGTTCCGATTGAAATAGCAATGAAATAGACGGAACGGGGGCTGCTAAGTAGTGTCCTAGGTCCAGCTGTTTTGAGAACGGACCTGTTTCGATTGAAGTAGAGGTTGAAATAGACAGGTGGTCAAAACGCTACTGGAAAGGTTTTAATGAGGTCTGTGTCACGGAGGACACAGTCCACCCCGCTGTGAGCATTGCGGGTAGTAATACGACCGGAAATGCAGACTGATGGCACTTGTGGTATAAAAGAATAAATGGTATAATAGCGCTGCGTTAAAGCTGACGCTATATAGACGCAGCGCAGGCTGATGGCCGTGTGTTGGCGTTTTCGAGTTGAAAGAGTCTCTTGTAATCACACTGTCGCTTGGATTGTTTAACATTTCTTATTCCTGCAGAGGTACAGAGATTTGAACACCGCTGCTTTTGGCTTAAAACCTCAAGTCGATCTAAAAATCATTCATATTGCTTTGTGATTTGTGTGCTTCTCATTGGTTTTGGGGTCGTGACAGCGGGTTTCTGTCCGCCGCTTTGTGATTATTGTTTTCTGTGTGGCTTTGTGGGTTTAATTTGTGACGGAACTCTGTGTTGGAGAGTTTCAGCTGCCCTTTGCTCCATCTGAGTGTGTGAAAACCTGCCAGTTCTGACCTGGTACGTGTGTGAGAAAGAGAGGTGTGTGTATGTGTCCGAGGCTTTTGAGCCTGGTCTGGTACGGGTGTGTGTGTGTGTGTGTCTGGGACTTTGAGAGTGTTGCGTGTGACAGGTTCGGCTGCCGTTTCGCTGTGTGTGTGTGAGAAGGAAAGAGGGAAGCGTTAATTCGTTTCGGTGGCTGCCAAATGTTATCTGAAAGAATCATTTTAATATATGTCCTCATACGCGGTCTGATTGTATTTCTGATCATTTTCATACTAGAACTCACCGGAGTTCTTCCAGCGTGTTTTCCTAAACCAGTAAACAAAACATCTTAAATACGATGGGGAATGCTAAATCTAAAGACAGCCTGGAGGGAGACATGAAATACATGCAGCGTACCCACCCGGGTAGTTTAAAATATCTGGAAAATTGGCGAATAAAGTACCAGGTCAACGGAAAGCTAAAAGGTCAACAGTGGCATGATTTAGTAAGTACTTTCAAAAATAAAGCTGCCGTTGCTACCGGGAAAAATAAAGTGAAAAAGGAAGAACAGTTAAGGGTGGCGATTTTGTGGCGAGATGAAACAGATAAAAGACGGGTGGGCATTCAGAACCGAAAGACAGAGAGAAGGGGAAACAAAAAGATAACGAAGGCGAAGGCGCAGGGATGGATGTGTACGTATTAAGAAAACTGTGCGATGATTTATCCCTTGGGCCACCGCCCCCGCCGTACCTTTCAGTACCTGGGTGTTCACCTCAACAGCAAACTGAACTGGTCCGACAACACAGATGCTCTGTATAAGAAAGGCCAAAGGCGCCTCCACCTCCTGAGGAGGCTGAGGTCCTTCGGAGTTCATTCCCAGCTGCTAAAATCCTTTTATCACTCTGTGGTTGTCTCTGTTATTCACTCTGCTGTGGTCTGTTGGGGTGCAGGCAGCTCTGACCCGAAACAGGAAGGGACTGAACAAACTAGTTCAACAGAACAAACCCCGCTTCTCCTCCAGCTTCACTGGCTGCCAGTCAACTTCAGGGTTCATTTCAAGATCCTGGTTCTGGTCTATAGGGCCTTACATGGACAAGCACCATCTTACATTGGTGATCTTCTTAGTCCCTATGCCCCCAGCAGATCCCTGAGGTCCAGTGATCAAAGTCTACTGGTTGTGCAGCACCAGGCTAAAGGTCAAATGTGACAGATCATTTGCTGCTGTGGCCCCCAGACTCTGGAACTCTCTACCCCTGAGCCTGAGATCAGTGGACTCAGTGGTCTCATTTAACAAGCAGCTGAAAACAAGCTGGTTTTGGTGTGAACTTCATCATCACCCTCTCCTTATGCTGCTCTTATTCTGCCTTTCTGGGGATCCACTGATTTCCCTCTTTCCAGTTAATTTTCTCTCTCTCTCTTTCCTTAAATGATTTTTTAATCACAATTTTTATTTGATCTAATTAAAAACATCTTTTAATAATTTTTTAGAAATCTTTTTTATACTTCAACTTTTTTGTTTTGTTTTTGTGAAGTGCCTTATAATTTTTATCTTGAGAGGCGTTATATAAAAGAATGTTGTCTTTCTTTCTTAGTTAACAAAGCTAGCGCGGTTCTTGGCTGCCCACTTCAGTTGAGGAGATGTGTGAAAGAAGGATGCTGAGGAAGCTGACCCCCATGTTGGAAAACCCTTCCCACCCACTGTGTCCCACATCAACTCTGTGATCCAGTCCAGTTTCTGGACTGGATCACAGTTAGCCCCGTCACTCTGGAACCAGTTGTCACCCTCAGTCAGGCTGTCCCCATCTCTGCCAGTCTTTAAGAGTCGCCTAAAAACCCCACCTCCTCCGCTTGGCATTCCCTGAATGCATTTGAGTTTGGCCCTCTTTTATGTTAATTTAATTTCCCTGCTTTCATTGGTCTCATCATCCCTTGTTTTACCCATTTGTTTTCTACTTGAATGTTTTACCTTTTTTTGCACTATTTGAATTGCTTTTGTTATCGATTTATTCATCGTGGTTCACATTTCTCATGTACCGTGTTCAGCGCCTTGGGCTTCCCGACAGGGTCGCGGAAGGCGCTTTATAAATAAAGCTTTGATTTGATTTGTGTTCCTTCAGAGGCAGATTGAGACACCCCAGATGTAAAACTTCTACCGTAGGTCATTTATCCCCTCTGCAGTAACTGCTCAGTTTAACTGGTACTGGTATTATCTTGTTACACAATAACATCAATGCAATATTCAGTATGTGTTCAATACTTGTGCAATACTGGATTTACATAGTATGTGTGTGTCCCTTATGCTGCATAGTCCTGGAAACCCAAGTATTTTTTATTCGTGTTTTTAATGGTTGATGGTTACAATAATAGTTTACTGCCTTTATGAGTTTACCTGTAATCTTGTTTTTATTTTTCTTCTTCCTTTTCTCTAAGTGTATGTGTCGCTGTGACAAGCGAATGTCCTCACTGTGGGAATAACAAAGTCTTTTCAGTTCTATTCTATTCAGAAAATTGATTAAAAAAAATGTCCACTCCGACATCCAATTTGGGTATCCAGAGTCCTCTCCCAAGAGAGTTTGCAATGAGTGCAGGAACTCAGACCCTGAGGCACCAATGCAAAATACAGACTTGCTTGTCAAGGGCTACATCCCACAATGGAGTGCAACATTAGGTCATGATCTATTTTAATCTAATGTAGAATACATTACAGCATTGCAATGACTGTGTGTTTACTTCAGTAATGTCATACGGCATGGGCTCACCTTTTGTGATCATTTGAATTATTGACATTTCTGAGATCTTCCAGTCACCACATAAAGTTGGTGTTTTTCAAAATTCATGTTACAGCATTATTTGGAGTGACCCCTAGCATATACAAATTCAGGTATTCAGATGCCATAGGGCTGCCAGGAGCCCTGTCACGACTGGCTTTAACCATTTGAAACATGGCCAGTTTGCCCACAGCAGTTGGGTCATTGTGGGGGTCAAAGGGTGAAGATGACATGGAGAATGTCCTGCTAATAACTGCAAACTGCAAATAAATCCTCATGAAACACGTATGTGGAGTAACCAGGTAGGTAGGTTTTAACTGTTGCAAATCTGCAACGCCTGCCTCCAGAGGGTTAATAGAGATTTGGCAGTTTTTTTTAATAGATGCAACCCACATACTCATCTCTGCTATGAAGACTAAAATGCATTGTTCTTATATGTAAACGTGGCTCTATTTAAGGGGAGAAACGGGCTTTACAATAGTATACAATTCTTTGTCAAGAACCATTGATGCAACAGTAGAAAAATTGCTGAAATTATTTAAAGATATCAAAGGTACTCTTCACTCTATATGGCCTGGTTAGTCACCCACCTTGGATCTCAGGGTGTTGGATGAGGAAAACCAGCGCCCACAGCAGAGTGGTGGCTGTGGTTTCAGTTCCAGCCAGAAAAAGATCACTACAGCACTGCGCCAGATTGGTCAAGCTGAAGCCCAGGTTAGAATCTTTCTGCTTCTCCTCAAAAATTTAAAGACTCATGAGTGTAGGATTGACAGACTGATAACTTTTTTGAGAGTTTAACAAGCAACACACATTTTCCATTTCAATGAGGAAAGTGTCAATGTAGTCACGAGGATTGCTGGGGTCCAGGTCCTTCTTGTGCTTCTCTATCTCCTCAGTTAAGAAATGTTGTATGGTGATAAAATGACCGAACATTTTGTTGTGAGGACCTGGCAAGGAACTCATCACGTTGGGGAATGCCTCATAGAGCTGCTCGGGAAAACGGGTGATTTAAGAAAAGGAAAGACACCAATTGAAAACATCACTTCTTTCTTTTCATACTAAACATCTGTTATCTTACAGTAACTGAAAAAGTCCAACTCTATAAATAAATGCTGACTTACTTGGCCCCAAATGCTCCCCTGCAACCAAAGAGATTCAGACATACGTTTCAGCATGATCTGAAAGTTGTGGTCGCTGTAATCAAATCTTTTCCCCATGACCAGCTGACAAACAATGTTGGACACAGCACTGTTGAAGAGACCTGCAGGGCTGAAAGGTTTACCTGAAGAGGAGAAGAAAACTGGTTCAAATAAAAGGATAATTACACATTACACTCAATAAGCTGTGAACCACCTTTCTCCCTCTCTATTTCCTCCTGCAGGTGTCGGATCTCCTCACAGATACTCTGCTCCAACATGCTTTTGCCCAGGCCAAAGTTACGTAAAGTAGACAAAGCAAAGCGTCGTTGTTTCTTCCATTTGTCACCGTTGCTCATGAACAGACCGGCTAGATATGAGCATACACAAAACAACCAAATAGAAACAGTAAAACATTTGTGTCAAACATAGAATGTTCAAAAGAAAGATTCCAGACCTTGATGTTCAGTAGAAGACCTGCCAGCTATTGAGCTGTGCGGGCGATCCACAAAGTTCTCAGCTTGTGTCACGAGGGCTTCCTTTACCATCTTGTGTCCACACAAAATAACAAACGTATCTTTGCCTAAGCGAACAGTGAAGATATTTCCGTAGATCTCAGCCAACTGGGGACAATACAAAAATTTATTTAGCATTCACGAAAAGCAACACTTAAAACTGAAATTTGATCAATCTTATTGTCAAATAAATGACATTAGGGTTGAGGGCTGCACTAGCAGGAATCTGGTGATTTGTCATTTATCACAACACAATGAAGATGTCACGACATACAGCAATACTAAAAGCGTTTAGTAACTTTTAAAACTGAATTTAATTGAAAATTTCAGACAAGACACCAGGGCCGTGCAGAGACCTTTGAAGGGGCGGGTGCTCAAAGTTAAAAAAGGAGACATATAGAGCAAATTTTTTAAACAGATTTACGATCCAACAAGTTTGAAATTTCAGATAATGAGATCCTTGGGTTCAAACAACAAGATAAACTAGGAAAAATATGTAATTTTGTGTCACTAATTGAAGGCAATGTTAGTTCATAAATCGTTGTTTTGGTTTTTAAAGCTGACTTATTTCTAGAGATGTTACAACCATATTTTTGTCCAAGTGGTTTGATTTTTGATTATCTTCCAGTACTGAGTCCTGTTCCGATATACGGTTATAATGCAATGCATTACAAAAAATAAATGAAAATTAAGGAAGAACACACAAGTTGTCCTGTCAGTTTTTGTTATTTTACTCATTTAACCTTAAAAGCCACTCATTCAGGAAGTACATTGAACAGTATTCAAGATTCAAAATAATTTGTCATTGCACAGGTACACATTGTGTCACGGTGCAGGTGAGTTGAGCGGTTGTGAGTATCCAAATGCTGGGGAGGAAGCAGGCAGGCAGACAAACTGGAACATGTAAAAGGTCTTTGAATGGTAAACGCACGCAGGACATGGAAACAATGAACCGACAAAACACACAGAACTGAGAGGGTTTAAATACATGAGGGCTGGGAGCTTGGGTGATTGGAAAACGAGAGGCAGGTGGGAGAAATTAACAGAGACACATGACTGAACAGAACGGGGAGACAGGACAGGGTGTTACAGTAACCCCCCCACACCCCCCACCCCCCCCACCCCCCAGACGCCCACAGGAACCCAGAGCAGGGCGGAAGGAGGGGGACCAGGAAGGAGGGCCAAGAGGAACCGAGGGACCGGGGTAGAGTCCGGGGGCCAGAGCCTGAGGCAGAGGAGGAGACAGCGACCGGCTCTGGGGGGGGTGGCGTCTGGGGCAGAGGAGGAGACGGCGACGGGCTCTGGGGGGCCGGCATCTGAGGCAGAGGAGCGGAGTCACTGCAGGCAGAGCCTCTTGGACGGGCAGAGCCACTGCAGACGGGGCCGCTTCCTTGGCTGGCGCTGTCCGACGTGGCACTGACGGCTTGACGGGCTGGGCCCGATGCGAAGAGACCTCTGTGACCACCGCTGGAACTGGCGCCGACTGGACTGGTGGCTCAGGACCTGGCGCTGACTAGGCTGGTGGCGCGGCCGCTGCAGGTGGTCATGCTGGCTTGACCGGAGACGGAGCCGCTGCAGGCGGGGCCACTGACGGAACTGAAAACGCCTGCTGGAGAACCATGGAGGATAGGGTGTCCAGCTGGGACTCCTGGAGGCTGAGGATCTGATTAAGCCGGACCAGCTCAGCTTGGAGACCAGCGAACCATGCTGGATGGACTGCTGGCTAGGCCCCCTGTTCTGGAGACGAGGGAGGTGCCGACCGGACCGGAGGTGGGTCCGCTGGCCTGGCCGGAGGCGGGTCCGCTGCAGGCGGTGATGCTGTCTGGACTGGAATCGCCTCCGGGAGAACCAGGGAGGATAACCCCCAAATTCCACTACCTCCGCCCCGCTCTGCTCCGACACGAACGCCGGAGCAAAATCGGTCCCATTGTAGTCAATCAGAGCAATTCCACTACTGCGGCCGTGCTCCGGCAGTGCGGCGCAGTGCGCCGCCCTCTGTTCCGGCGTCCGGCAAAAATAGAATCGATCCTATTTTCGCTGGACGCCGGAGCACCTCCGCAGTAAATGGACAGAAATCACAACCGCCCAACAGGAAAAGGAGCAAGCACAACTTCCGTTTTTCACAATAAACCGATAAACAAAAGGCGTTTTTTGTTTCATATGCACAGGTTTAACAACTTTTAACAACTATCAATGGCGGCTGAACTTTAAATGCACAAAAGTAAGCCATAAATACAGTTTCCACTATCAAAGTAGTCACACTTAGTTGATCCAGACACTGCTGATCTCTCAACACAAATGATGGGCAGATTAAACAGTTCATTTTGATGCTTCTCCCACACAACGGGTGTTTGGATCTAACTTCCGCGTTTATTGCTCGGACTGTATCGCAAGATCTCGAAAATCCTGCGCATGCTTGTTTGCCCCCCTCAGGTCTCCGCACCGGAGCCGAGCCGTTGTAGAGCAGGTACCAAGAAAAATTGAGTTCGGAAGCGAGCGGCTGCGGAAGGCGGGGGCGGACCGGACCGGAGCGGAGGGGAGGTAGTGGAATTTGGGGGTTAGAGTGTCCACTGGAACTCCTGGAGTCTGATGAGGTGACGGAGCCGGGCCAGCTCCGCTTGGAGGCCGGCAAGCTCAGTCCGATGGGCTGTAGGGTCGGTCCCGCCTCATGCAGATGAGGGGGGTGCTGACTGGACAGGCGACCGGGGCTGGGGTTCCATGCTGGTGTGCCGAGCCGGGGTAGCGGTGAGCCCGTGGTGCCGCCCTGGGGCTGGAGGTGACGGTGGAGCCCGGCATCCTTCCAACTCTGGGGGAGTACGCAGCCAGTCTGGTGCCCACATAACAGGAGCGGTCCAGCTGTGTCTCCCAGTCCAACGTCCCATCTGGCTCCGGGAGGGTGGAGAGGATCGCAGATGCTGGGGTTCGGCGGCGGCGTCTGCAGCGAGGCGGCGCCAGAGGGGGAGAAGCCGGCCGGTGGCTCGGGGTGAGCCATCGGAGCAGGTACTTCCAGGGGAGAACCTCCCCGCTGGATCCTTTGGGAGGTCAGTTCATTCTGTCACGGTGCAGGTGAGTTGAACGGTTGTGAGGATCCAAATGCTGGGGAGGAAGCAGGCAGGCAGACAAACTGGAACATGTAAAAGGTATTTTAACGGTAAACGCACGCAGGACATGGAAACAATGAACCGACAAAACACACAGAACTGAGAGGGTTTAAATACATGAGGGCTGGGAGCTTGGGTGATTGGAAAACGAGAGGCAGGTGGGAGCAATTAACAGAGACACACGACTAAACAGAAGGGGGAGACAAGACAGGATGTGACACATTGACTTTGAGCTCACTAAAGACAGCTCATGTAAGAGGTGGTAAAATAAAATAAGTAGAATAAATGCAACCACGTGAAGTTATCCAGTGTGATCTGCAGCTGGGGTCTTTAAGAGCTCTGCTACCAACCTAACAACAACCTTTACACAATATCAGATTGAATACCACCTTCTCTCCTTATAAGGGCACACACACACACACACACACACACACACACACACACACACACACACTCACACACACACACACACACACGCACACACACACGCACACACACACGCACACACACACGCACACAGAGTGACATTTCATACCATTTCCAGAATACTGCACAAACTACGACCATAGATTTTCTTCACGGTGCTGATTTCCCTCATTATTTATTTCTAGTGTTATAATAATAATGTAATAGTTAATAATAAAAATACATAATAAAGTAATAAAACGTATGTAGTTATTCTCACATTCACTTTGACCATGTCTTTGTGGGCGGCAGAACATTCATCACATGTTTAACCCTCTATGACCAGAATTATAACTGGGCCACCTGGTATTTTTTTTTGTTCTGTGGCTGTAAAATTGTAATAAAAAGTGCTAAATGTTTGCAACTCTGTAAAATGCAGCTTAAATGTTCAAAAAATTATTAAATGGATTAGAATTATTTTACATTTGTTACTAAACAGGAACTTCAAAAGGACTCATTTCAAAAGAACAATTTAAACTCTGAACTGTGTTGCAAAGTGTGAACCCTGGCCTCATATTGACCAATTTATGATTGTTTCTATTTTCTAAACTCCTGACTGCAGCCCTGTCAGTGACCATAGGTATACGCTCTGGTTCAGAGAATGGCATGGAGTAAAATAAATATGAGGTAACATAAGATAACACTTATTCATTCAGGACCACAGATGTGAATTTGCTTCAAGCTAAATCTGGTGCAATGCATCAAGTCCAACTCTATAAATGTATACTGACTGAATATAAATACAAAAATAAATAGCCCAACATGACAAAAATACATTTTAAAACATTTCCCAAAGTATTTAATGATTAAGGCAGTAATGCTGTTTTACAGAGAATAAGTTTCTGTCTTTGACACAAATCAGTACCTTGGTGAAATAATTCTGTGGCTGTTTGCTGTCCAAACTCAAGATGTTACCTATGAAGGGAAAGGCCATTGGTCCTGGAGGAAAGTTTGCTGGTTTCCTGTTCTTAAGGTAGTCTGCTAGTAGAAGGAACAAAAACAAAAACAGGAAAAGCCCCTTCAGGTTAAAGCTCAGCAAAAAATGATAAAACCACATGGTCAAAACAGGCAGCAGCAGAAGAAACACTGGTGCCAGTCAGACTTGTTAGCGTCCTGGTGATCTTTTTTATAAAGTATATTTTTGGTTCCGTAAGGCTTCTTGCTGCAGGACCGGTTGCTGTAAAATACAAAATGTACAAAGTGCAGAGTGTTAAATATCTTGATATAAACCACACCTGCCTATAACGATGATGTGTAGCGACATGAATGGCCTCATTTGAGACCCAAAGGTCACACTTCCTCAGCTGGGTCGAGCTGTCCTGGCTTTACTTCTATTTACAGATTATCCATCACAGGAGACACAAAGTCTGCTGTAAGCCATCTTTAATCTGACTGCCTTTATCTGACTGCTGTTCCATCCGCAAGATGGACACTTCAAGATTTAAAAGAATCATTTTTAATAAACTCTTTTCACTGTCTTATTATTACAAGGTTCATAAATAATAATCATGGTTCATTATAAATGTATTTAATTACTGAAATGAATTATTATTCTTTGGTTAATAATAATTATTATTTATGATAATCAGTAATGTTTGATCAGTGACAATAAGGTCATGTGTACTTATACACACCATGCAGGACACAGACATCAGGGTTAAAGGTAACTGCACTCACATGTCTTTTCTCCATAACAACAAGCTTTCTATCTCTGAGAGGGCGTGTTCTGAGGTATAATAAAACCAAAACTCCTCAGTTCAAGTTCAGTTCTTGAGCTCACCAAAATCTCTCCGTGGCGACGAGAGTCCAGAGTATCGGGTTGGCCACTCAAAACCTCTACCAAAGCTGTTCTGTCATGCTGATAGAGTTGCTTCAACAGAAAACACCATATTCAACCAGCTGACGCAAAACTCCTTCAGAGTTATTGATTTATTGAGATGCAACCAGTTTCATTAGTCGTTGTGACCCGGAGACATCTCAGGACCGATTTGGTCACACTAAGGTTCTTCTAACCACCTTGGAGGTCATCATCTTCTCCTGACATCTCGGATCCAAGAAGGGGGTCTCCTAACTGGGTGAGGTAGACACTTCCGACAGATTGCGTCCATATGCCTGTTTTATTAAGAAATAATTCAGCTTAGCTGCAAAACAACTGTTTTACCCAGAATGCGTTTTTCTCTCTCTAAGATAGAAACCTTCTGAGACTACATTCACCCATCCAAACACACACATCTCATTTTTAGTTCCATCCAGGCACAGGTTGCTTTAATACCAAGTTTTAATATCAAAGTTTTTATAAATTGTCATTTATGAATTGTCTTTTAAATTGTCATCTTTAAATTGTTAGAAATAAATTCTTAACTTTTTAAACCTGACTCTTCTTTGAATAAAAGACAGAGTGGTGTATATTTGGTCACTGAACGAGCAAAGATCTCTTTAAATCTTCTGATTTAATAAATAAACATTTGCTATTAATTTAAATCTTTTAAATTAAACATTAATCTTTGGATTAAATATAGACCCAGCCAGTTAGTGTATGAACTTCTATCGATTATATAAATATCTGTGGATATCTATATATAATATAGGTTCATTTGCTAATTTGTTAGATTTTTCTCAGGATTTAGCAGAGCTGACTAGCAAGCAGCGTTAAATCCTAGTTTTGTAGATTAACTACGCTACATAAAATGGCGGGCCAACCAGTCTTGTTCAGATCAAAACACGCTATTTTGTGTTTTATCTTCAATAATTGGTAAAACGGGAGCGGTGTTTCTTTAATTTTCTTCCTCCGCAACGCCCGGGAGGAAAGCTTTTTACTGTGACACCGGCTTCCGGCATAAACTTCCGGTAGTCCGAACACGGTAAAAATCAGCCGAGTCTGTAAGAAGCGTTTCAAACTATGTTCTAATTGCTAAAAAAGTAAGTGAATGTGTGTTTACGCATTATTCGTCACCTTGTCTGTATACATTGTGTCACTCCTGAGTCAGAGAATTTGTTTCTCTCTCTCTTCACGTTAGCACAAAGCTAATCGCTAGACAGTCTTGATCAACTGTTAAATAGCACTTTTTCCGGTAAAATAACCCGGACCTTTTCCGAGCTTTTCGGAACGATCAGACTGTGGTCCGAAGAGTGATCGTGACAAAACTCGACACATCACTAAATGTGCACACTTTAACCTGCTTAGCTTAGTGACTAACACAGCCTGCTACCGTCTGTAGCCACAATAGCGGAAGAGCGTGTGCGTCTGAACACCGCATAATATACGCTAAAACCGGCCTAAAGCCGGGCGTACACTGTGCGACTTTTTCACTTTTTTGAGCCGATTTTCCACTCGTGCGAGAATCCACAAGATCGGGGCGAGTTTTGCGCCGAGCGTCGTGTAGTGTACAGGGGGTACGAGAGGCGATTAACACCACATGACCAACTACCAATCAGCAATCGTGAGCTCGCACGGACTTCTGGCTTGTTTAATATTTTGCTCGTCCCTCGTGAGGGTATCGCACTGTTGAAGCGGCGCTGTGAGCAGCTGCTACCCAAAATGTATCATAACCGCTCACGGCGCATGCGCAATCCTGCATCAACACCGCTTGCCCGCTATTTCCCTAATAACACACGTTGTTCGTTTTAATTTCTACACATTTTTTACTCACAGATTGTCAAGAAAGCGTGTTTGTCATGTTCATGTCAAATTAAACTGATCACAAAACACAGATTTACTTTCATTTCGTTTTCCTCATCCAACCCCCGTAAATCCCTGTGTGTCCTCCTGCAGCACTCCCGAAGGACAACAGGCAAGACAAAAAAGTTTGACGTGTTGAGTAAAAACTGCTGTTTTTAGCATATTTTTAGGGCCGACGTGTTGCTACCAGACGTACAGTGTGAGCAGTCAGGTTGCATCCGAGAACTGGGTCGTACAGTGTGAGCACATGACTCGTGAGATCTGCCCTGCGAGGAAGTCGTACAGTTTGAGCTGAAGCTGAGTGCTACGAGTGAAGAAGTCGCACAGTGTACGCCCGGCTTTAGACAATGATGACTAGTGCACGGGTCCGTTGCAGTCGAAGAGGTGTCCTATTGGACGTAAATTAACCTATAAAGTCCTGATTCTGTTCAAATCTAGGCCTTGCCGACGTGCTACACAGCTTAGTCGTGCGGAGACAGGAGCTAGTAAGCCAGCACCAAGCGGGGAAACCCGCCGCAGACGACTGCGTCTCCATTAAAATCCCTTTGGGTAAACATTTTGTCTTAAAACCATCATGTTTTTAGCCAAAAATCAGAGCTCTGCTGAAATAGCTCAGCTCGCCTGTGGATCTGATTAAAGGGGAGTGACGCAACCGTGCCTCGCCTCACGTTCCTTTAGCCCGGTGCTGCCATCTACTGGCAGGGTTTTCACCTGGCTCAGTAAAGCTCAAAAAGCTTTTCTTTCTGTCTCACTAATCTCTTATTCCTCAAAATAAGGTTTCTAGTGCATTATCACAATGTCGAACCAGAATGACTATGTGCTTTCTTTTCTCAACAGAATGGCAGAGATCAGAGAAGCTGAACTTCAGCAGCAGTGTTCCACTCGGAACCAGAAACTCCAACAAAAGACAGAAACTGTCTCATCTCTGAGTAACACGCTGGATGAAATGAAACAACATCCTGATGCTGTACAAAAATTTAATCTTTCTGCGTTGATCTGCTTCCAGAACAAATTCTGCAAACAGAGGATAATTCTTTTGGTTCTCTCCTTCAGGAAACAGAAACAACTGTTCCTGCTACACAGAAAAACCGGTTCATCCGCAAAGGACGAAATATCGGTCCACCCTGTCGTCGAGTCCCCCAAAACGTTCTTGGGACACCTAGTGCCCCAGGAGAACGCTGGTAAATCTCTGTTGTCAGTCAAGCTGATCCAGAATCTATCCTGCAACACACTTCTTGACACAGGTTCAAACTTTACACTGGTAACTCGAGCAATGTTCGACCGCATCTGCATTTCCTGTGGAGCGGGGGTCAGGCCCCCAGAACTTGTTCCATGTTCTGTAACTGACAAGACTTCCTCTCATGACTTAATCTTGTCTTCTAGGTCTGCCCTCCACTTCGCGATCGGTCCCATGTCTCTGACACATCCCGTGTACATCTCCGAGCATGCTCTCCGAGCATGCAAGGATGCCTGTCACCCTTGGCATGGACTTTCTGAGGCGCACTGATGCTTTCATTGATGTGGAACAAGGGGAACTATGGTCATGGGGTGAAGAACCTCTGCCCATTGTTCTGCCTCCTGACCTCCACTGTCTCACGGTTGGTAACTCTGAGCCGGGGGGAACATCATGTCCGCCACCTAGCCCAGAACCTTCACCACCACAGATTCAGCTTTCATCAGAGTCACATTGTGTTGATTTCTCTAACGAAGCTGACGCTCCTACCACAGTAGTTGAGCGAGACAAACAACAACTTGTGTTAAAATATCCTGATTGCAATAATCTTTCTCTTTCCATCATGTGGACAGGTCAAGCTACGCCGGTAGCCAGAAACTCATCTTTGAAACTCGACTTCCGCCAGAGAACTTCCTTAACAGTCATCTCAACAACCAAGGGCGTCAGTTTGTTTTCAGAATTGCTGGGGACAATAACCATACACTTGAGTGGGGTTTAAAAATTGCTGGGGACAATAAAGTAGGCTAGCACAGGGGTCGGCACCCCGCGGCTCTGGAGCCGCATGCAGCTCTTCCATCCATCTGATGCGGCTCTCTGTGCTTGTGAAATAATGAATGGATATTTAAATAAAAAGCTTTATATTTTACTGCATTAATTTTACATCTGTAAGCTAATTCTAAATGTAAAGATTGTCTGCGTAAACCTGAACAGTTCCAACCCGGTCTTACTGTGAGACCGGGTTGACGCGTCACGCTTGTGCGTAATCATATCGGCGCTTCTGAGCTGCTTTCTGACCTTCCCCACCTACAAAGTTTAATTACAACAATCAAACGTGACAGAGCCTGGATTTGTATTCTGAACAGTCTAAACATGTTTTAAAAAGAAACGTAGGACAAAAGTGGCACCTGCTCAGTAAAACCACCAACAGGGTGAAAAATACCAAAAATTGAAGGCAGAGACGGGCTACAGCTTCTGGATCCATTTTATATAAATCGTTTTATTAATTATCGTCTAATGAAAGATAATTAAGACGTACACGAGCGACCAGGCGCGTTGCATGCTTTTCAAAAGTGTGGGGGATGTTGTCTGTGCCTAAAATAATTTCATGTTATTCATCTTGTTAGTTTAATTTCTGTAATAGCGGAGCAGGTGCGAATTTTAGACGCGTCACGCATGTCTCCGTTTCAAACATGTTTAAACTGTTCAGAACACAAATCCAGGCTCTGTCTCGTTAGATGGGTGTAACTAAAGTTTGTACTGAATGAAACTTTACATTAAACCATGTTGAAAAGTAAAGGATCCGATTAAATAGTTTCCCCCTCATTTACAGTCAGTACAGCGCAGTGCACGTGGCTCTGGGGTTAATCATTAATATGTTACTGGACACGCTGGTCTGGTTGGTTAGACCAGTGTTTGAAGTGGAAAACACACACACACACACACACACACACACACACACCAATTAAAATAATGCTGATAGCGTGGACTAGAAGACAGGTGATGGTTTACGTATTTAAATGATGATCAGGCTGCTGTAAAATGTAATCTCCATCCACATCCAGACAAAATTATCCTCTATTCTTTCTCTAGTTGCTCTGCTTTTGTCTGGGCTGATCAGCTGATGGTGCGCGGTGCGCCTAACTAGCGGCTGATGCACATTTTACGCATTTGGAGAGGTGGACTGGATGCTTTGCGTTTACTGGAAGATGGTCCACTTAACGCACGGTTGTAGACTACATATTAATGACAAATGAATGAAAATTAAATTGGGAGTTTTTACTTCATATTTTAGAAATAAAAATTATGGGGGAAAACATTTATGATGTCTTTTTAAACGAAATTTTCTAGCGCGTCCTGCCTGCTTCACTTAAGTCACTGCTTATTAAGGTCCGTCCAAAATTACCGTTGCCCACCCAAAAATGAAAACCTGGCGCCGCGCCAGTTATAAACCTCTGCAAATTGTTGTTCTTAACTTTATCAAACTCAGACTTTGTACAGCTAATGTCAAGATGTAAAATTATGAATTCAGTCGAGCTCTTCCGTCCCTCCCTCTCCTGCTCTCCTGGAAACCCGACATCGGCTGGGAGGTGAAGGAGATGAGGCAAACAGAGTGAGTGCTACGTAAAGAAACCAGACTGGTGTGGAGGTGAGCAAAACAGCTGGAAAAGTGTGGGTGTTGTCCCCCACGGGTGCGATGCCCCCGGCTGCTGTCACCTGTTGTGAGCAGCGCTCTGCTGTCTGAGGGTAGGCCCCGCCCGCAACGCTGCGGCTGCTGCGGTGTTTTCTTTACTGTGGGAAACGGGTAATAATGGCTCTTTGATGGGAACAGGTTGCCGACCCCTGGTATAAGATCTGAGCTGGTAAAACAAAAATCCTCATCAGCAGGCATTTTTTAAAGTGGGGGGGACACAGCTGCCGATCACGAATTTTGCCGGGGACATGTCCCCGGCGTCCCCGGTTAAAATGACGCCTATGTCAACAACTTGACAGACCCTCTTGCCACTCAAGGTAAAGATGTGGACACATTGGGGTATCAAAATTCATCACTTCAATGGCAACAGTCCCTCCTGAGACCTTCAGACCAGCAAAAAGATGGAACAAATCCTGACAGCTTTTTATTTTGTGCACCGTTTTATATGCAGGTGCTGGTTATTAAAATGAGAATATTATGACAAAGTAGATTTATTTCAGTAATTCCATTTGTAACATCCAGCAATGGTCAGTTTTCACCTAAAAACTGACCTACATGCCACCGGTCACCGGCAGACATAAATTCCATCCCCTAAGGTGGGTTTTACATTCTACCTTCCAAACAAGGTTCTGCAAAACTTGTTGACATTTCAGGAGGAACAAGACGTCAGCCTGTGTTCCCAAACAAAGCCTTCTTCTGATAACACCACAGGATTCCTCATGCCTCTGAATAAAGTGACTAGTTTCAGTTCATATGAGTTAATCAATCGTGAAATGGAATGAACAAATGTTATATGAAATGATCAATAATGTTTTGATTAATCTGTGCTTGAACTACTGAAGTTTGAAATGAATATTTTTATGGTATGATCAGTAATTGTAGCTTTAACAAGTGAATCATTATCTACACTCAGACGCAAGGTTCATTAGAGATAAATTAAAGTTAAGTTAAACGTCATGACACATAGATATTTTCTCAACCACAAATCAGAGCACCCTGTACCCTGAAAGAAGGACTGAAGTTCTGAGGTTTGCTTGTGAACGCCCCCTAAACATGGCAAGTCCCGGTTGGCCAAGAAATCATAATATGAGAATATTAAAACAGAGCTCACTAGACGGCGAGTCAGTTCTAGAGAAAGCTACGGACAGGCCATCCGGAGCGAACCCTCTTTAACCCAAAGCTTTCGACAAGCTAAAAGCTGCCTACAGCTGACACAGCAAAACAGTTCCTTCAGCTATTCAGAAACAGCTGTTCTAGACGCAAACAATTTCATCTATCTGTTGTGATCCGGGAGACGACTCTGGACCGACCTGGTCGTACTGCGGTCTTTTCTACAACTTTCTACAACTACAACTTTCTACAACCTTGGGGTCACCCAACCCCCCCGACATCTCGGATCCGAAAGGGAGTCTCCTCAGGGGTACATAGAACACAGCCAGATTGCGTCTGATGCCGTTTTGATAAGATCCAACTTCATAACTTAATGCAAACCAAATTCTTTGAACACCCAGAACTCAGTTCTTCTAGATACAAGGTTCTGATAAACACACACCATTAAATCACCATACATAACATCTCATCCACTTAGATTCATCCATCACAGTCATCCTAATTAACTTGTCTTTTTTTTATTTGTTTAGAAAATAAATTTCTTGCTTTTTATAAACCTGACTGTCTGAATTGATGTGAAGTGTGTTTGATCCCTGAAAAAGCAAAGAATCCTAGAATTTTCTGATTAAACATCCAAAGACCAAGCAGGTTGATATTCTACATTGTATATAGAGTATCACAGCTTATTGGTCATAAGTAAAGGTAATATATTAAGCTTAAAAGCACAACATTTACCCTCTACACATTCAAAAAGTGAAACCTGTATATTAGATTCATTCATTACATACAACTGATATATTTAAATTTATTTTTGTTTTAATATTGATGATTATAACTGACAATTAATGAAAATTCACAATTCACAATCCTGTCCATGGTGTAGTTATCCCTATTGGGATTTTGATAGACTTGTTTCGTGTTTTGCACTTGTACTATGTGTTTGGGTCCTCCAACTTTGCTAAAACTTCTGAGATTAGATGTTGAACCATAAACATAATAGTAACAAAACAAAGTACACAAGAGGCAAAAGCTATTCAGTAGATTTATTGTGCAGATTCCTATAAAATGAGTTTTCATTAATGTACTTTGCTTTTGTTTGAACATGTTAAAATTTAATTATTACGATATCTGATAAACATAACTGGATATAGAAGAAAAAAAATAAAAGCAGAACTTTAAACTGAGGAGCATATTTAAAAGGAGTAAATGGTAAAGTGACTCTATATTCCCCCCATGTAAAAACTTCTAATTAGAGTTTAGACTACAGTGATACTGTCACACCCTGCTGTGAGACCTGTTCATCTATCCCACTTCCTGTTTTATTTTGGTGTCACCTCTCCTGTTTCAGTTCTGTTTCCTGTTCCTCATCACTTTGATTTCTCCCACCTGTTCTTAATAATAATAATAATAATAATAATAATGCATTGAACTTATATAGCGCTTTTCAAGACCCCCAAAGACGCTTTCACACACTCTCACATTCACACACTGCTAGTGATGATAAGCTACTTGTAGCCACAGCCGCCCTGGGGAGGTCTGACAGAGGCGAGGCTGCCATTTGGCGCTGTCAGCCTCTCTGACCACCACTAACACAGGCAAGTTGGGTGAAGTGTCTTGCCCAAGGACACAACAGCAGGATACCCCTGGCGGATCATGAGGCAACCCGCTCTACCACCTGAGCTACTGCTGCCCCTTGTGTGTATTTAACCAGCTTCTGTTCTCTTTCAGTTGTCAGTTTGTTAGTTTTCATTCTCTCGGTCCAGCCAGGTATTAAGCTACTGATCTCTGAGTCCTTTAACGCAGTTCTGTTTTTTGATCATTTTTTTATGCTTAGTTAAATAAGCCTTTGCCTAAATAAAAGCCTTGTTTTGCCGAACTCTGCATTTGGGTCCAGTCCTTCATACAGCCCTGACAGATACATTTTTAAATTTACATGTCAAACTACATTTTTCCGATCCAGCAAATATTTTTATTATAGAATCATCATCATATATTACACAAAACATGTTACATAGAAAATGTACTTAGTCCCCAGTTTTCCCTTAATAAAATGGACTATAGACGAACACCCCCAGCTGTTGTAGTTTTCTAAAATAACGTTTTACAATATGCCTTAAACATGGTCAGTGGTGGACATTGTTTAAGGTTTACACATAAAGTATTCCACAGTTTTACACTAACAACAAAATGGGCTGGCTGTGTTTAGAAACAAAAAGTTGAAAATCTTACAGAAGTGCAAACTTTATGTGTTTTGAAGAGTTTTATGCAACACTGCTATTGTGGTGACTCAGCAGAAAGACATCCCCATTTCCACTGGAATCACTAAAGTATAGTAAATATTGTCACTAGAAAAGAGCTACTGCAACATAACAGAGTTCAGTCAATTTTTAGCTAAATTTTCAAAGTTTGTGTTATTTTCTCATGTTAAAATTTATGAAACAGTAATCACCCTTTGTGCAACAATTAAAAACTAAGTTGGACATCCCTTCAGAGTCCCACAATAATAAACATCTGTAATATATGAGCTTTGACCATGGCTTTGACGTGTTTCATCACAAGTCAATAGAACTGTCTGTTTAAATTAAAAGTGTTAATGAAGAGAAAGCAAGATGCGTTTGACACCACTCAATCTGCTAACTCGGAATATCCCTAAAGTTCCTCAGTTCACAAACGACAATTCCACGATACTCACTTTTGTACATCTTTTATATGAGAACTTGTAGACATTGTCATAATATGTACTACCATACAATAATCATTATGTTTCATGGTCGCCTCAGAAAATTTGCCTGCAAAAAATTAATTTTACACGCTGAAAAAAACATTAAACTGTCCTTATATGAGCTACTTAGAGGAAAGGACACTAGCCAGATTGAGCGTATTATAGAGGTTATAGAGGTTAGGGTAGGAGAAACTAAAGAGCTGAGTCTTCAAGTGTCACCTCTGTGCTTTTTAAAGCATTATTAATAATTTGCCAAAATCTAAAAAACAAAACAAAAAAAAAATCATGGTGCCATTGTGTGAATTTTGGGGATAAAAGTCTGTTTTTGAATCTGGTTGTAACAACAAATTGTGGAAAAAGTGATATGCTGTTAACGCTACGTTTGGATTTTTGAATTACTTTTCACCCACTCCACCTTTGATAAAAAAAACTGTGGCAGAAGTCAGAGATTAGATGTTGCTGGGTAAGAAGAGTCAAGATAACAAAGGCAAACAAGTAGTAAAAGCTACTCATTAGATTTATTGTGCAGCTGCTTGTAAATTATTTGACATGTTTAGAAATAGATTTGAACACTATTGCTTATCACATATGTTTCATATATTTCAACTTCATGGTGACTCAGCAGCAAATGTTCTCAGCTTAACCCAGATGTCATTAAGCTGGAATTGCTAGAGTTGGTCAAATATTATCCAAAGATAGTAAGAGAAATTGAGCCACATTATAGAGATAACTCAACAGAATACAAATTTATCTCGTGTCATTTTTGTGGAATATTGTAATATTTGATTTTTTTAATGAAACAATCAACACATAAAATCTGAATATGGTCCCTAATGACAAATTTTATGATTAAAGGTACAATATTTAAGAATTTTACAGTGAAATAATCACCAGTCTAATGCCATAATCATGTTGGAAGGTTACATTAAAACAGATTTCCTTCTCAGCCACCTGGGAAGTTGTTAGTTTTCTCCTTTCAAAAGGGCCAAAGAGGGACATAGTCTTTGCCTAAAATTTGTGAGCCTGCGAGGTTGCAGAGTCTGTGCCAGAAAGCGCTGCACTGGCATTTGTAATTCGACACTGGCCAGAAAAATACAGCAGCGTTTTGTAAACATCCTAAGCCAGCAGAAGCGACCCAGAAGTTATTTTTTGTATCCCTAAGAAGCCACAACATCTTTTTATTTTTTATTTTTTTGCTCTATCGGACGAAGCAGGTTAGAGCCTAATGTTGAGCTAACAATGCTGACAATGAATTAGAAATAAATAGTAGACTCTAAAAAAATCTCAAAACAACTTTCTCAGTTATCAAAAACTCAACGTTACAGTGAATTGTATTTATCCACCTATCAACTAACCGTAACTGGCAACAGCCATCAAACTCACAAATGGGAGTGAGAAAGTGACTGGTCTGTTTTGAAAATGGGCTGCAGTACCCAAATCTGACCACAGGATGTAATTCTTTTATCATGAACCTTTACTTCTAAAAATGAGGTTCCTGTTGTTATTTTTCCCAGGAAAAACTAATTGGCTTTAGTTTTGTTTGAGAAGCAATGGTGTGGTTGAATCTAATAGCTTTCGATCACTCAGAAACTTGAATAATGTTTATTATATCTTCAGTTATCTTGCACAAAGACAATGTTAGTGATGAAGCAGCACAATTTTGTGTATCTGTCTCCAAGTGATAAATGAGCAGCTCACATTCAATAGCTATTAGTTTCTCACTACAAACACCTTTCATAGTAATCTTAAAAATGTTTAACTAGTTGTAGTAATGACATAAATTAGACAGCCTATGCAAGTTATTTATAGATTGTTTAGTTCAAAGTGATGACTAAAGGTTTCAGGTATCTACAATATTCTGTGCAGTTAATGCTCAGTCATTTTATCAAAGGATGCAGTTATACTGTTATGCTGTTGTGAATTTATTATAACTTACAATGTCAAAAATCTTGAAAAGACATTTAACAGCTTTTTCAGACTGTAAAAAATTACGCAACAATAATAGTAGGAGGTTATAAAATTACAACTTTGCTTAATAATTTTGTTTAGTTTACTGTTGCGTTGGTGATGTGGTGCACGGCTCAGCGAGCTCTGGCACACACTTTGAAGGGAGCAGGAACACGTGTAACTCCAGTTATTCCTTCTGCACTCAGCTCGACTCCTTCAGGAGCAGAGAAGGAGAACTTCTGCAGCAAGCCAACCAAAAATAGAAAGAGCTCCATCTTGGCGAGGCCTTCCCCAAGACACACACGTTTCCCTGCAGAGCACACACGCAAATGGTAATTGGTAAATGGCCTGTATCTGTATAGCATCTTCTTAGGGTTCTACAATCCCCCAAGGCACCACAACACAATCAGTCATTCACATGTGTGTTAAGTGTTCTCTGGGCTGCTAATAAATCTTGTGAAGACTGCTTCAATCACAAATTGTTTTTTTTAACATGTTGGGTTGTCTTCTCTCAATGTTAACCACAAATGGCCAGGCTGCCTGTTGAATGTGGCGTGTGGCCAATCAGAAAGTGAGATTACGTGACTTTTTATCACCATGTGTGGCTTCTCTTCTGTTTTGAAAATTGTCCAACATTGTTAAAATCCTGCTATGAGACCATGGCCCAAGATCTAAACAGGACTGACTGGTGACGTCCTCTGTTACCTCAGTGTTCTTGGAATAGTTTAAAGTATGCAAAGATATCTGAATTTCTACAGATCATTTATGATCCAAAAGTAAATGGGTAGGTGTGGTGTACCAGATGAGAAAGGAAGGAAGGCTTCTCTCTTCACAAACTTCCCACTTGCATCCAGGAAGTGACCAGGATTGAAGGTGTCTGGAGTCTCCCACTCAGTTTTGTCAAACAACACAGAGGTCAGGATGGGCATTACAGCTGTGCCCTACAAAACAAAATCCATAGGATGACACAATGGTTAGTTAAAGGCACACTTGGACTCTATAGAGCTCCGGACCCCACGTGACTCTCAGTTAGTAGACGCCATATTGGCAGGTAAAAGAAGCTAAACAAACACAGATGTAAACATGAACATGAACAGGATCAGCTTGGATTTTAATTTGTCGTAGTTTACTTCACACTTTAAAACCGAAGAAATTGTTTTATATAGTCAGAAATTAAATAGACTAAAAATCTCCGACCCTTACCGTGCCCCTGGGATACTTTTTAAAAACGCCAGAAGCTGTCGGAGCGGACTTCTTACCGGACCTTGCCCCCGGAGGAGCTGGCTAAACCAAGCTTTAGGCGGCTGGGGAGAGGGAAGTCTGGGACTCTCGACGCTACTGCCCGCTCCGACGCCAGAAGCTGTCGGAGCGGACTTCTTACCGGACCTGGCCGGGGAACCCCTTTGGATTTACCCGGAGGAGCTGGCTCAGGTGGCTGGGGAGAGGGAAGTCTGGGCCTCTCAACGCTACATGCCCCCGCAACCCGACTCCGGATACGCAGATGAAAATGGATGGACAAATAACAGATTTACACGTAAGTAGTTTAAATAGAGTGCTGTGCTGTTTGAATGTATAAACTGAACGCCAAGAGAAATCACTAGTTTGATTGTTTTCCGTGAATAAAATAAAAATGTCAGGCAGGAGCGTCTCAGGATCTGTCTGAGAGCTGTCTCGGTGAGACAGATAATAGCAATCCAAAGTGCTTTTATGTGTGATCTGACAACTGATCAACCATTGCTTAAAAATTAAATACAGCTTAGCCGGTTAATTGCTGTGATTATAAAATATGTAAATGGCAGCACGCAGAAATAACGAGGCAACATTTTACGTGATGTTTACTTGTTGCTATGAGTAACAAGACAGAAAAAGCCACGCCAAAATAAGTTTAGGAAGCCCACTAAGAATCGTAATAAAAGCATTTAAAATAAATACCGTACGCAGTTGAGGAAACGTTGGTTTAAGTACCTGATATGAAGCGGTCACTGCATAAGCGAAAACCTTTACTCTCGGGATCCCACAGCTTCATTTCAGCCCGGACACTAGCGCGTTTTATTACAATGATCCAACGTTTGCGGCGCTCCGGATCTTGGGGAATCCTGTAGATAGCTCATTCCTTATGTCGTCCGCGTCTGTTCTGCATCCTGGGGCACAGCAGGAATCTACCATATTTCCTGTCTGATTGAGTTTTCTGACAATAACAAATAGTCCAGCTGCCGGCTTCTACCTGCCAAGATGGCGCCGTTTCGATTTGAACTGTTGCATGCCGGGAGAAGTGACGTCAACTCCCGGAGCTCTATGGACCCCATTTAGCTCACTTTTTGCATCCCCTAGTGTCTGTTATTACAGTTTTTTTTTCGATTGCTAAAACGCGTTTTTCAAAACTGTACGTTTCTTTCAAAACTGCACACACAAAACCCCAAACATAACACACAAATTCCTAAACTGTAGCTTCCCTTTGCAACAAAACCCTGCCATCACATATCGTAACATGTTCCCAAAATGGAACACGTGTTTTCATTTGGTAAACACAGCCACATTTTCACGACACACACATACCATTCATTGCTTGAACACAAGTAGCCTTTGGGTGAACACTACCAAGCATGGAAAGAACACTGAAGAGCAAAACTGAAAACACAATTGTCTAAATGGAACACAATGAATTACACAGTGAATGTATGACAGTGCCCACTTTCCCTGAGACACACATTAGACATCACACAAATTTTGAGACAAAAAATTTTATTTTTACACACACACACACATACATATATATATATATATATATATATATATATATATATATATATATATATAGATATATATATACATATACATATATATATATATACATATACATATATGTAGCTCCCTGGGTTACACAGTTTACTTAAAACCCTTCAATGTGGTAAACCGGGTTTGACATTACTTTGTAGCAACATAAACATAAAGTATCCCCGCCAGTCACGCCCCAGACCGGCGTTTGATTGCCCTTGGGTCAGCCAGTCAGGATGGCCGAGCGGTCTAAGGCGCTGCGTTCAGGTCGCAGTCTCCTCTGGAGGCGTGGGTTCGAATCCCACTTCTGACAAGGTTAGGTTTTGTTTTTTCAGTGAACATATCTAACATGGGTCATTAACCGACCTCCATACATTTCTCAAAATAACAAAACAATGCCAAGTTCAATATAAATCCACACGTGGGCTCACACTCACTCACACACACACACCAAGTTCGGTACCGTAACTTTTTTTTTTCCCGTTGCAGGCCTGTGCGGTGATTTTGTGGCATGCGAAACCTTTCCTTCAGACGCCCTGACAGATTCACAGAGCAGGCGTCCTCATCCCGAGACACGAAACCCGATGTCCTCAGCGATCCGACAGGTGTCTGTGTCCTCCGTCCCAAAACAGGAATCCAGACGTCCTCAGCGAACTTCCCCACACCACCAGGGGCGGATTTAGCAATTTGGGGGCCCAAGGCAAACACAGACACGGGGCCCCTTACACTAAATTTTCGACAATCTGACCTTTAACTGGATTTGCGAAACTCTCCCCTCTTCTGACATGAGTTATTTTCACTTTTTATTAGACCTCCTCTTTTTTCCTGCTTTTCTCTCCCTTTGAGTGCCTTCAATATTTGCTCTGCTTTCTTTTTGCTATCAGTGCTCCTATGCTTTAGCCTTAGTTATTTTTTTTTCTATTTTCCATTTTGGTCTATGTTTTCCTCCCTTGAAACATTTTCCACTGTCTTTCCTTTCTGCTTCCTTTTGATGTTTACAGCGAAAAACGACGTCACTTTCAGTGAAAATAAAAGCTTTTATGAAGCATGCTGCTTCTTTCTCTTATTGGAGCCACTAGGATAACTCAATTTCATGCTTAATGTTTTGACTATCGCTTTGGGTTTGTTACGAACGCCACTGCCTCTCTTCTTCTTATTTGTGGTCTTATGGCACTTGGCAAACAACAATTTGGTGCATTACCGCCACCAACTGGATTGGAGTGGAATGACTACCAATCACTTCCTGTTTGTGCATCGCCGTCTTAATAACTCTCTTATGACCATAATTATAACAGGGCCGCCTGGTATTTTTTTAATCTTATGGCTGTAAAATTGTAATAAAAAGCACAAAGTGTATGTAACTCTTCTCCTTTTTTCAGAACAACCTCAGCTTTTAGTGTATGGTTTGTATTTAGAATTTATTTCTATTAAAGCCTTTAAAAAATCAGCTTAAAAGTGAAAAAAGCAAAAAACGGATTTGAATTTTTTACATTTATTACTGAACAGGAACTTCAAAATTATTGGGCAAACAATTTAAACTTTGAACTGAAATGCATCTATTCTTAAAAAAAGTGTGAACCTTGGTATCTTTTTTAGCAGTTTTTAAGACCATTTATTTTTGTAAACTTTCAGATGTTTTTATTTGATGTGGTAGGCCTTGAAGCAGTTTCTCTCCAGCTGCAGGCAGAGTCCCACTCTGCACACCTCACACTACCATGGGGTGCTTCTCTGGCACATCGTGCACTGCTATACCAAAAACTTTTGTTTTAGCAAAAATAATTATTTATGGTAAAGATAAATAATGCTGGAATGAAGCTGAATCTTACAATTAGCAAATAGTTGGGGGTTGTTCAAATAAAAAAAATAAAATATAAAGACGGAGCAATCATTCATACCCTGGTTCACCGGAGATCTGTCCTTCTTCGTGGTCATTGACTTCAGATATAAGCCTTCTGGGACTCCTAATAGATCGTGTTGATTTTCTTTGAGGCATTTCCATAATTTCATGCTGGTTTTTATGCTGATGAGCTTCCCCGTTCCGTTATCTGCTTCCACTGCGCTGTGCTCCGTTTCAATCAGGCTGTACAGCAGGATTTCCCCTCGTAGCAATATTTTCCCTAACTCTGATTGCTTCAAGCTATAGATCATTGGAAAGCTGCTTTTATGTACTTTTAGGGACCGTTGGAATTATTTGAATCTGATCAGCCATTCAAAAGTTATAAAATGGAGCATTTTAGATGACAAACTCAGCACGTCTCTGAATCTATGTTGTGATTCGTTGCGCTCAAGACAGGGAATCCCAGTGGCTACCGTAATGTATTGTATATGCACGGAAAGCCCCATTTTTAATCTTTTCGGCACTTTTGGAATTTTAATATCTTGAACGGTTCAGGAATTATGGTAATGAGATGTGCACATGTCCAATCCCGTCTGCGGCCAGAGGTTGGTAATAAGAATATTGCGGCATTAACAGAGGGGTGCCGGCAGTCAGGGCTAGGAGGCCCCCCAACACAAGGCGGCCCCAGGCGGCCGCCTACCTATGCCTAATGGTAAAACCGCCTCTGCACACCACTCATCTGCCTCTCGTTGCGTCTCCTGCTCCAACCAGCTCCCGATCAGTCCCTAATCACAGCGATTAAGTTTGCCTTCTCATGAAAGTTTTGGAGTCCGTCCTCCTCTCTTTCTTTCTCTCCCTCCTCGTCTCCACCATCGGTCTCCACCGGCCACAGTCTCTCCTCCCCACCTTCCCGCCGTCTCCCTCTTCTCGAACTTTCCCCAAAGTTCACCCTAGTGTTCATAGCTGTGTAGTTTTTGCTCCTACACAGCTTTCATTTGTTTAAAATTCAGTCCAACATCCTTGGACTAAATAATCAACAAAACAATAATACACACATAAATGGAAACAAACATTTCTCATCTGAAGCCTGTTCTCAACTGAAAAATACTCACTGTAAAATGCATAACTTTAGTGGCAACGTTACAGTTAACATTATACGTGCACCTCACTGTTCATGTTGATACAAAGTAATGTCAAACCTGGTTTACTACATTGAAGGGTTTTAAGTAAACAGTGTAACCCAGGGGGATATATATATATATATATATATATATATATATATATATATATATATATATATATATATATATATATATATATATATATATATATATATATACATATATAGCATACTATAGTATACTGTGAATGTACCTTAGGTATAAAACAACCTCCCAGAGTTGTGTCCTTATGAGCCATCCTGAGTCCGTTGATTGGTAGTATGTTTCCAAACCTCTGGATTTCATGGATTACAGCATCAGTGTAAGGAAGATTTATTCTGTCAGCCATAGAGGGGAGGCATGTCCTTCCAATCACAGTGTCAATCTCAGTATGGACCATTTCTTTTTGATAGACAAAAACCATAAAATCAGCTTCTGCTGGTGGAGAAAATTGAATAAATGTATTTCTGCTATAAATAACCATCACGCTGTGGTGTAACAATGCATCAAAATGGTCCTTGATCCAAAATGCAAAAATCCATAAAATAATTACTTATCAAATACCCTTTTATTTCAAAACTTGCTTAATTTTGAAGTTGCACTGACAAGCCATTTTCCACCTGTTCCTGCACATCCCTAAACAAGTTAAATGAAGAAGCTAGTGGTGTCATGGCGAGCAGAGAGAAAACATTCAGTTAAAAATAGTCTCTCCCCTGAAATATGATTGTGATCAATCACTTGTTGTAATGTTTCATATAGATCAGTGGATCCTAAATCAGATCAAATCAAAATGGTATTGTTTATCCTCACCAGTGTGTGAATGGGTGAATGACTAGTTGTGTTGTGAAGTGCCTTGGAGGGTTGAAGAACCCTAAGAAGGTGCTATTCAAATACAGGCCATTTTACATTTGCCTGAAGATGAGAATCAGGTCAAAAATTGGCACAATTGTCCTGCTGTGGGAACCGGACTCCCTAATTCCTGATCCACTCATTGACAAGAACAGAAGGAGCCTTAAAGCTTTAGTCCATGGTCGGGTTACGAGATAAAATGTGCCCTCGTTTAACACATCCACGAATCTGTCTTCAAGATCATCAGCCTCACCTGTGACCTGGAAACACTTAAAGGTCACACCTTGCCTTGAATCTGCTACAAGAAACCCAATATCTAAAGTCTGCCCACCAGCTTTAACAACTTTAGACACCACTTTATCTCCAGTTTTTGCCATGGAGCTATGTCAGAGTCTACCTGCTTCTGTCTTTCTTTGACTCTCACAAATGTGCTTGCTGTGCAGAGTGAAGTGTCAAGAACAAGCTGCGTGATGTTTTAGTTGTGTAGCAGAGGACTGGTAAAAGCTGTATTGGGTGATGAAAGGTTCCAGTGTATCAATGTGTTCTAGACGTGCAACACATTTAAATGGATCACAGACTCTTGAACTATTAAAATGCCTGTTTTTTTCCACCTTTTGTACTGCATTTATTTTTTTAATTGCTTGTTTTTATAAAGTTAAAGTCCCATTAATTCATCACAGACTAGTGAAATTCATCTCCCCATTTGACCCATCCCCGTGGGGAGTGGTGAGCTGCTGCGGTGGCCGTGATCGGGAACTATTTGGTGGTCCAACCCCTTAAAGCTGAGTGTTAAGCATGGGAGGCATTAGGACCCATTGTTAAGGTCTTTGGTATGACCCGACCAGGATTTGAACCCCCATCTCCCAGTCCCAGGGTGGACACGTATGAGTTAAGCCTACTTACTTGTTTCGCTTATTTATTTAATAAATTACCCACCTTGGATCTCAGGGTGTTGGATGAGGAAAACCAGCGCCCACAGCAGAGTGGTGGCTGTGGTTTCTGTTCCAGCCAGAAAAAGATCAGTAGAGCACAGCGCCAGATTGGTTTCGGTAAAGCCCAGGTCAGAATCTTTGTGCTTCACCGAAACACAAGAAAACGTATCAGTTAAAAGATTTCAGCTTCATCAAGACTGACACATTTGAGAATTAAACAAGCAACACACATTTTTCATTTCAATGAGGAAAGTGTCGATGTAGTCGCGAGGATTGCTGGGGTCCAGATCCTTCTTGTGCTTCTCTATCTCCTCCGCCAGAAACGTTTGTATGGCAGAAAAATAGGTGAAGATTTTGTTGTGGGGACCTGGCAGGTAGTCCATCACTTTGGGGAAGGCCTCATAGAGCTGTTCGAGGAAAACAGGTTATAAAAAATATGTGGTTTTCAATTGGAAACATCACGTTGTGTCTTCATAATGAACATCTGTTAACTTCCAATTTCTGATAAAGTCCAACTCTATAAATAAATACTGACTCACTTGACCCCAAATGCTCCCCTGTAGCCAGAAGGATTCAGAGATGTATTTCAGCATGATCTGAAAGTTGTGGTCGCTGTAATCAAATCTTTTCCCCATGACCAGCTGACAAACAATGTTGGACACAGCACTGTTGAAGAGACCTGCAGGGCTGAAAGGTTTACCTGAACAGAAGAAAACTGGTTCAAATAAAAGGATAATTACACATTACACTCAATAAGCTGTGAACCACCTTTCTCCCTCTCTATTTCCTCCTGCAGGTGTCGGATCTCCTCACAGATACTCTGCTCCAACATGCTTTTGCCCAGGCCAAAGTTACGCAAAGTAGACAAAGCAAAGCGTCTTTGTTTCTTCCATTTGTCGCCGTTGCTCATGAACAGACCGGCTAGATATGAGCACACACAAAACAACCAAATAGAAACATAATTTGTGGCTAACATATCTGGACAGGATGTGCAAAAGAAAGATTTCAAACCTCCAGGTTCAGCATAACACCTGCCAGCTATTGAGCTGTGCGGGCGATCCACAAAGTTCTCAGCTTGTGTCACGAGGGCTTCCTTCATCATCTTGTGTCCACACAAAATAACAAACGTATCTTTGCCTAAGCGAACAGTGAAGATATTTCCGTAGATCTCAGCCAACTGGGGACAATACCAATAAACAGAAAAACAATGATGAAGAAAATTTGACTGTACAATTCAGAAATGAATTATACTTATTATCAAATTGCTTTTTAATTTTGTTTAATGGAAAAAATGTGGAGGCCTGTAGGTGGGGCATGTTGGAGAGCACCTGGTGGCCGGGCTTTCACTCACGGAGCCTGACCGGGCACAGTCCAAAGAGGAAATGTGGGTCCCTATTCCCATGAGCTCACCACTCGTAGGATGGGTCAAAGGGGTTTGGTGCAGTGTGTAACGGGTGGTAGTCGAGGGCGGGGACCTTGGCGGTCTGATCCTCGACTACAGAAGCTGACTCTTGGCACGTGGAATGTCACCTCTCTGGTGGGGAAGGAGCCTGAGTTGGTGTGTGAGGTTGAGAGGTTCTGTCTAGGTATAGTTGGACCCACCTCAGTGCATGGCTCTGGCTCTGAAACCAGCTTCCTTGAGAGGGGTTGGGCACTCTACCACTCTGGTATTGCCCCCACTGAGAGGCGCTGAGCAGGGGTGGGTATACTAGTTGCCTCCCATTTTGGTGCGTTGGGGTTTACCCCAGTGAAAGAGAGGGTAACCTACCTCTGCCTACGTGTGGTGGAACAGGTCCTGACTGTTGCCTGTGCTCATGCACCAAACTACAGTTCGGACTACCCACCCTTTTTGGAGACCTTGGAGGAGATGCTAGAGAGCTCTCCTTCCGGTGACTCCCTTGTTCTGCTGGGGGACTGCATGTGGGCAACAACAGTGAGACCTGGAGAGGTGTGGTGGGGAGGAATGGACCCCCAATCTGAATTTGAGTGGTGTTTTGGAGTAGACCCACTGATCCTCCACATTGAGAGGAGCCAGTTGAGGTGGCTCGGGCATCTGGTAAGGATGACTCCTGGACACCTCCCTGGTGAGTTTTTCCGGGTACGTCCAACCGGGAGGAGACCTAAAGAAAGGCCAGGATTCCCCCAGAGGAGCTGGTCCAAGTGGCTGGCAAGAGGGAAGTCTGGGCCTCTCGACTTAGGCTGTTGCCCCCACAACCTGACTTCGAATGAGAGGAAGAAAATTGTGGACGGGAAACAATGTGGCCATATTTTAAATGCAACTGCAGAAGGTTAGTAATAGTTTTGTATTTATGCACATTTCATCAACAGTTTAGTATGCAAAACACAAATAACCCAACTTAAAAAAACATTTTGGAGAACAAACATTTCTTAATATACTTTGTGATTAAGTCAGTAATTCATTTCTATAGAAAACATAACTTACAATGTTTGATATTAATCCGTACCTTAATGAAATAGTTCTGTGGCTGTTTGCTGTCCAAACTCAAGATGTTCCCTATGAAGGGAAGAGTCCTTGGTCCTGGAGGAAAGTTTGCTGGTTTCCTGTTCTCAAGGTGGTCTGCTATTAGAAGGAACAAAAAAATAAACAAAAGAAGTCCCCTCAGGTCAACGCTCAGCAAAAAATTATAAAACCACATGGTTAAAACAGGCTGCAGCAGTAGAAACACTGGTGCCAGTCAGACTTGTTGGAGTCCTCGTGATCTTTTTATAAAGATTATTTCTGCTTCATTAAAGCTTTTTGTTAAAGAACAGGCTGCTGGCAAATACAAAATGTCATAGACATTTGTACAAAGGGCAAAGTGTTATGTAACTCGATGGAGACTCCACCTACTTGTGTGCAGAGTACCGATGACGGTGAAATAAAACTTCAACAATCAATTACGAGTCTTTCAGACGGCAATAGGAAGAGATAAATCCTGCAGCACTCTTTATTCTGTCCAGCGTGTTATGTTGACAAAACCATAAATGTTAATTTTATGCAGCTGTTCATTTTCATTTGTTTGACAAATGCTGGTTTCACTGTTAATGCTGTGTGTTGGTTCCCACCTTTTCTTCATTAATGTCCCTTTAGCTGCTTTAAAGTTAGCCCCTCCTTTCATATATTATTTCACTTAAATGTTTGTATATTTAATTTATCTTGTTAGATTTTGAGTTAGGATTTTTATATTGGCTTGTTTCCTGTACAGGGTGCATTTGCACATTACCTCCCACCTACTACTGTACTCTGTGTTTGGGTCCTCCACCTTTGCTTTAAAGTCTGCAGAGATTAGAGGTAGGCAGAATCATAGTAAAATTTATTGTGCAGATTTCTGTAAATGAATTACTGGATAAGACTGGAAACATATCATAGGTCCTTTGAAATGATTCAAAATGTGCATGTTTTAATTAATTCTATGCAACACCAACTTTATGTCGACTTAGCAGAAAAAGATACCTGTTTCCACTGGAATAAGGTTTGTTAAATACTATCACAAAATAAGAGACACTGAACAACACTACAGAGTTCAGATGATTTAGAGCTAATTGTTTGTGTAATTTTCTCATGATAACATTGATGAAGCGGTAATTAAGTATTTATGCAACAATTAAAACTAAGTCTGATATCCCTTTTGAACGTATTTAATAAAAACGCAGTAAAAAATATTCAGAACAATGTGCTTCGATGTGTTTCATCACAGTTCGTTAAAATTGTCCTGTTATTGATGTCTGGATACAGCACAATGAGTACTAGTGTTTAAGAAAATAAAACACATACTGACAGAGTGTTTACCAAATTATTGATAAGAAAACGAAATCATGTCTTCATCTCAATGGGCGGTCCTACAACTTACTAATCATGACTGATTACTTTGTAAGAACTACATGTTCTTACAAAGCCTTAAAGAGCTGTGTAAAGACACAAAGTTCGCAGAACTGCTTGTAGAACATGAATAAAAAATTATAGATTCATTTAATTCAAGGGCAAACTTAGCTTACATGATCAATAAAGAGACGTGCATGAGTCTTCTTTGAAGATTTCAACAGCAAATATGAGAATTGATGAATTCTGTCTCTCAGATCTTTCAGTCATTATGTCAAGGCTCATTATTTAATCAACAGGTGCAGCTTGAAGGTTGAATATGGAACAATTTAATAATTTATTTTTAAACAATAATACCTCCACGGGGCATTTAGAGGTGTGCACAATGAAGGTACAGTATTTTACTGAAAAGCTTTATTAGAATGAAAAAATAAACCAATGTTTAATTTGACGGGCTTGGCACTGGGTTTATTTTTACACCCGTGGTTGCCTGTGGAAAACGGCAGGCTCGGAAAGCCAAACAGCTGCTTCTGAGCCCAGAGGATGTCGTTATCCTTCTCAGAAGAGGAGCGACCATAAAAGATCCAAACCCAGAGTGAGTTTAGGTGAAGCCTACAACAGATGGACCCAGATAAAACACCTCACGTGTCGGCAGCGAACTTGGAAACTTGGTTCTATCGTTGCAACTACAACCTGCACACACTAGATGTCGCTGTGGTGTTCGTGTTCCACATTCAATCTTTTACTCATGAAGCAAGCATATTTTCAGAAAAGGCACTTGAGCCATAGCTCCACATTCTTCTCAAAATTCTCATGCTGCAATGGATTGTGGGTAATACCCTTCCTGCAATCAATGCAGACTTCAGCGAAGTGCAGATCAGGGGAGCAAAAGGGGCATGGTCAAATTTCAGATTTCAGGACACCCTAAGCATTCACACCCCTGGACAGCAATGTGCATTTGAGGGGTGCAAGGGTGGAAGTGTGAGTATCGGGACTAGGCCTTCTTCTTACTTCTACGCGTGGTAAGTTATATTCAAGCATTACTGTCACCTAGCGGTTCAACACACAACAAGTCTCAGGAACATACATCAAATATTATGGACTCAGTTGTCAGACAAACGAAGAAAAAGAAACATTCTGATTTAAAGGTGTAGAACACTGAAAAAACATGTTAAATCTCATTTCTGATCTTCTATCTCGCAGTAGTAGTCACATTGCTATTAGCCAGAGGAGAGATGTCTGAATATCAGGAAATAACACTCCAAAACCTGCCATCTGAAGCTCAGCTGTATTGTGGGTCACTTCTAGTTCCTGAAATTAGTGGACCAGTGTTTTTTTCCCCCAGAGTGCAATTTACAAGGCATTTATTCCTACTAGAGACCACTGAAAATGTATTTGTTGTATTGAACACCTTTAATGGCATCAGAGAAAACGGTGTCAGAAAAAAAACACAAAAAAACCTTGAATGTTCCTCAGAGAGAAACTTTCTGACATTGAGGTCAGGTGCAAATCAAAAGGTGTTAGAAATGGGCCATAAACACATGGCAGTGCTTAGAACACAAAAGTTGTCTAATATAACCTTGTTAAGTTAAAGTAGTTCTCCCTTTCCTCTGTACTTTTACTATGATTGTGTTATATAAGGTTGCAGTTAGATTGTGAAATGCACATATGATAAATCATGTTAGAAGCTTGAATCATATGTTCTTCCACTGGATACAATTTGGCCGTGAACTGACAACAGTGCCACCTGTTGGCAGGTTTTCTCTGAGACTCTTATCTGAGAGAGGCTTATCTGAAAGTGTCAGAAGGTTGATGGATTTCCAGTAAAACCTGATGCTTTTTCTTCTGTGGACTGACATCTGAGGCCCTTTGATCTGACATCGGACCATGTTTTCCTGAGGCCAGAGTATGTTTTGAAATGTACACTCTAATACAACAATACTTTAACTAGACATTTTGTGTAATGGTCCTCTCTGAAAAATCCTCATTTCATACATTGAAATAAACAAAAAAGCTAAAATGTTAATGTTTATGAGTTGGCCGACGCTTTTGTCTGAGGCAGCTTGCAAATGAGGTTGTAACAATGCTGTTATTAAAGAGGCTAACAATAGGCTACATAGAAGGAAAGATGCTAGTCAGCATCAAAGGTGCTGGTGTAGAAATACACTGTGAGCAAGCATAGAAGGAAGTGTGTTCACAATGTTATGAGTTGGAGATGTTCTATGAAGAGCTGAGTCTTCAAGAATTATGCCTACGGATTTATGACTTGAAGGTTTATGGAATAACAGCATGAATCAAAATTTCTAAACTACGGCCAGTCAACGTCTGTGTCTTTACTTCAGACAAACTTATCTAATTAACATTCCACAAAATATATTTAGCAATTGGAACATTTTGCATAATGTGTAATCAAAATAACGGGAGTTGCTGACATCTGGAGTTTGGTTGTGAAGATATCAGCGAGGTATGGCGAGCATCCTGAACTCCTCGGGGGAATAAGTGAAGCCCATCACACCCTCCAAGCTGGGCATTTCTCCAGGAACAGGAGTGAAGGTGAAACGCTGGAGTAGAGTTGTAAAGAAAAGGAACAGCTCCATTTTGGCCAGGTGCTCTCCTACACAAAAACGTTTACCTGTGGTGAAACACAGGAGATGATTTGACTTGCTGTTGGTATTGGCAGCAACACAACAGCAGAAACCTGGAAGTTTTTGTGGCAGGTCTTTACAGACAGATGGATGAAAGATGGACATTAACGTTCACCTGCTGAAAATGGTAAGAAAGCCTCGTTTCTGAGGAATTTTCCCTCTGAGTCCAAGAAATGTCCAGGATTGAAGACATCAGGTGTCTCCCATTCTTTTTTATCATAGAGTACAGATGCAAGGATTGTCGTAACAATTGTACCCTGGAGAAGAACGTATAACCAGTTGATTTCACCTTTTTTACATAAACACTGACATGCATCCCTTTGGGAGTTTTCTAGGTGTGCTCCTACCTTGGGAATGAAGAACCCTCCCAGTGTTGAGTCTTTGCTGGCCATTTTAGGGAACCCCATGGGAACAATGTTTCCATATCGTTGGGTCTCGTGGATGACGGCGTCTGTGTAGGGCAGGTTGGGTCTGTCAGCCATGGTGGGTTGACGAGACTGTCCGATCACCCTGTCTATCTCTGCCTGGACTTTCTCTGAGAGAGGAAAAAGAGTAAAAACAATACCAGACAGCCAAGGGCACTGCTGAAGATCTCACACAATCACTAGAGACATATTTGGGATTATGGGATGAAGAAGACACTGACCCTGTATCTCCGGGTAGTTCATCATGAATACAAGGGCCCAGCGTAACGTGGTGGCAGCTGATTCTGTTCCTGCTTCAATCAGGTCCAAGATGCAAATTAGCAGTGTGTCAGTGTTGAAACCAGCTTGAGGATCTTCTTTTTTCTGTTGAACCATCAGAAGTTACTGTTATTTGTAAACTTTCAAGATAAAAGCTAAGGAGATCACTAATAAGCAGGAAACATTTCTCCTGTAAGTTGAACCTTTCAAAATAAAAGTAAAAAAAATCCTTTAAAGGTGCAAAACGTAAGAATTCTACATGCGAAATAATCACAAAAGAGTCTGTTTCAGTTACATTAGAAGGAAGGTTTTACTGGAACAGATTTCATTCTCAGCTGGCTGCATGGAGGGTTGTCAGTTTTTCTCCTTTAGAAAAAACAAAAGCAGGATGTAGTTATTGTTTCCACTGTGAGTTTGTGAGACTGCCGAATCTGAAGTGAGCTAATGCAACAGTGCTGGCATTTGTGTTTCAACACCAACAGGCAAAAAGCTCCAGAGTTGTTTAAAGAACCTCCCTAACATAAAACACCCAAGAGTGCTAACACCAGATGTAACTATGTATTTATTTACTCATCAACTTGCCGGCCACACACGAGAGCAATCTGCTGAGCAAACGGCCTCGAATGACCGTTTGCTCAGCAGATTGCTCGCTGTGTGCGCCTGATTTTCACTGAGTTTTCCGCCCCACAATATGCTGAGGTGAATATCTGACCAGTTAGATTTTTTCCGCCTCACGGGGAGTAAAAACTTGCCGTATGCGCACTACTGACCTACTGGCTGAGCTAAAATATTCTAGTGGCCAATCAAAGTGCATTCTCCGCTCACATGACCCCAAGATGTATTCAGATGCAGCCCCATGCCCTGTCTGCGTGTCTGAAAAATAAACAAAACGGTACCTTGCGGATCGATGGGCATACTGTTTCCATAGCCCTCTCGAAGGATCTGGGCGGCGGTACTGTCAGAGGATTCTGGGTCTTCCAGGCGCATCTCTTGGAGTAAAATGGCATAAACTCCTTGCCTGGCCCATCTTTCCAGCCACCATACTCATACTTTCCTAACCTCGAAATGCCGGTGGCGGCGACGCTTCATCAACAAAAAATGTAGCGTTTCCAGCTCTGTCTCCGTTTTGTTTACTTTCTGATAGGGCTGCACAATATATTGAAAAATAATCGTCATTGTGATAACAGGACGTGCGATAGGCCCATCGCAAAGCATGTAAAAAACGGCGATAAATGTTTGGTTCAAACATTTCCATCCGTGTCATACATCAACTTTTGTAAACCAGCTCTGTTTTTATGCGGAAGTATTATTTGACCAATCAAATGTAGTCCTTCTGATATGCGGCCAATCAGATGGGTCCGTTCACGTAATACGCCCGCCCCCTACGTAGACCCTTACTCCAAAATTCAACTATCTCCGCTCTGGGTGGAGTGCGAAAGATGGCGCTCTGAGTAGCATGTCCGTCTAGGAGCTCTCACTGTTTCCCTCGAAATTGCAAAGTAAATAGCCTTTTTACTCTCATTCAGTTGGCTAAAATATTGTCGCTTGAGGAGTGAAGTCATCTTATGCATTTATGAGCTTAAAGGATCATGCTTACTGTGTGGAAATGTCGGGTGAAAAGTCCGTGAGCGGGAGCAAACGTGTTGCGCCGCCGACTACTCCTAACAAGCCTCAGGTGCAGTCCAAGAAGAAAAATAGGACAGAGGAGGATAAAGAAACAGAAGATGGGGACTCTACACTGATAAAGATTCTAAATGCGGTAACCAACCTGTCTGACAGATTTGATATGCAAGAAAACAAACTGGAAAGTTTAGCCACCAAGATGGAGGAACAGCATAGCATGCTAACGGAGCTAAAGAAAGAAGTCGCGGAGAATAAGAGCAAAACAACGCTGCTGGAAAGTGAACTGGTTAAAGTACGAGAGGAGTTGCTTGCAACAAAAGAAAAGTGTAAGGAACAAGAAAGATATAAGAGGAGATGGAACCTACGACTTAAGGGTGTAAGTGAAAAAGACAACGAAGACATAAAAGGCACGGTAACTGCTATTCTGAACAAAATCGCCCCGGGAGTCCCGTGGAGCTTCCAGGATATGGTGGACACGGTGCATCGTATCGGGAAAAAAGATGCTCTCCATACAAGGCAAGTAATTATTCAGTTCGTGAAGAGAGAGTGCAGAGACCTCATCTGGAAGCTTTCCAAGAACTGTGATGTATGCAAGAAAAACGGTCTAAGATTTGCAGAAGATCTGATTCAGGAAGACAGAGAAGCGAGAAGGCTGCTGTGGCCGAAGGTGAAGGAGGCACGGGAGAAGAACAAGAGAGCATACTTCAGAGGACCGTTTGCATTTATTGAAAACACCCAGATCTTCCCCTGAAGAAGGAGATGGGGACGGCTTTCCGAATGAGTGGCGAAGTCATTTAGAGGGACAGTTCTACTAGTCACTAAGCTAGTTTTCTTTGGTGAAACCTTACATTCCTGTTATATCTAATTTAGGGTTTGTTTGTTGTTTATCTATTTATTTGTTTGTTTTTTTCACGTTTTTGCTTTTTGGGTTTAGATCTGTTTTGAATTCCTTATGAGTTCAAGAATATCTTTTATTTCATTAAACGCAAGAGGACTAAAGGACATTACCAAAAGAAAGGCATTATTTCTATTCTGTAAGGAACAATAAGCACAAGTTATATTTCTTCAAGAGACTCATTCGTGTGAAGACGACAAGGCGTTCTGGAAGACTCAATGGGGAGACAGCATCCTTCTTAGTCATGGATCCAACAAATCTGGAGGGGTGGCGATCTGTTTTAACAACTATCCGGGTAAGCTTGTGGAATATAAAGCAGACTCAAAGGGTCATTGGATAGTTGCTGTTTTGAATTGTGAGGGTGTTTTGTGGATTATTTGTAATGTTTACGGATATAATTTGATTACAGAAAACAAAATATTCTTAAATGAAATTTCAAAAATGATTGGAGAATCTAAAGTTAAATATCCAACAGATAATATATTGGTTGGTGGGGACTTTAACTGTGTTCCTGATGAATGGATGGATAGATATCCCACTAAATTCTCTACACATGTTTATAATCCAACATTGAGAAGTTTTTGTGTAAACAACTCGCTATCAGACGCTTGGAGACATATTAACCCGTGTGTTAGACAATTTTCATGGATACGTGCAAATGGTAATAATAAGTCAAGAATTGATTTATGGCTAGTATCTCAAGCTATTTTAGACCAGATCTCTCTTGCTGAAATATCGGCAGCCCTTGTTACGGATCATTGTGTAGTTTCTATAAACTTAATTCCTAAGACAGGAAATATAAGTAGAAACGGATACTGGAAATTTATTGCGTTATTTTTGAATGATGAGGAATACTGTAAAATGATTAAGAAACTATTATTGTCTGTCATAGAAAATCCTCATCTTGATTCTGCAGGGAAGAAATGGGAATTCTTCAAATATGAAGTCAGAAAATATTCTATTAATTATGGTAAAGAAAGGAGGAAAAACAATAAAGAAACAGAAAGACAATTGTTTAGGGATTTGAATAAACTTTGCGGAGATTGTACACTTTCAGATATGAATAGAGAGAAATATTTAAAACTTTAATCAAAACTGGACGAGCTTTATTTAAATAAGGCTAAAGGAGCTTTCATTCGGTCAAGGGCAAAATGGATAGAAGATGGAGAGAGGAATAGCTCATATTTTAGTAAATTAGAGAAAAATAGACAGACAAAAAATGCGATAAATTCACTAAATATTAATGGTAAGTTAATTAAAGATCAAAGAGAAATTTCAGTCAGTATTTATAATTTTTACCATCAGTTATACTCTTCTCACTTTAAAGAATTGGATTCCGTAAAATTCTTTAATTACATTGAAAGGTTTATCCCTCAAATTAATTTAGAATTTAAAGAAGAATGTGATATGGATTTGAATATTTCTGAACTTGACAAGGTGATTCAAAAGGTAGCACTGGGTAAGTCTCCTGGCCAGGACGGTCTAACCACAAACTTTTATAAATTCTTTTGGAAAGATATTAGAGAGCTACTATTTGAAGTTTTACAAGAATGTATTCGGAATAATTCACTCTTAACTACGATGAAACAAGGAGTAATAATACTGATACCTAAACCCAACAAAGATAAATCTAATATTGATAACTTAAGACCTATTACATTGCTGAATGTGGACTATAAATTATTCACTCATACACTGGCTAACAGATTAAAAAATGGAATAAATGATTTCATTAGTGAAACTCAATCAGGTTTTCTTCCAAATAGACATATTCATGACAACATCCGTCTGATTCTTGATTTATTAGATTATGAAAATTTGGTAGAAGAGGATGGGGCTATACTGTTCTTAGATTTTTATAAAGCTTTTGATAGCCTCGAACATCATTTTATTATAAAGTCACTTCAGAGCTTTGGATTTGGTAAAAAATTCATTGATATTATTACATTCCTATACAAAGATATATCGAGTGCAGTTCTTCTTTCTTCGGGTACGACAACCAGATTTCCAGTTAATAGAGGAGTTAGACAAGGAGATCCTATTAGTCCACTTCTTTTTATTATAGCAACAGAAATGCTGACTTTACTAATTCAAAATGACCAATCAATTAAACCGTTAACAGTGGCAGGACACTCGCTTAAAATAATTCAACTAGCAGATGATACTGCATTATTGTTGAATAGTACCAAGGAAATTCCTAATGCCATGAAAACGCTGTCTTTGTTCTCACAAGCCTCAGGTTTAAGGTTGAACGCTAACAAATGTGAAATATTAACAATTCATGATACTGAGGAGTTTCATATTTGCGATATCCCTAGTAAGAATGAAATTAAGTATTTGGGTATGAAGATTAATAAAATCTTTAAGGAGAGAGTGGATAACAATATTCAACCGATAATTAATAAAAATCAAAAGATTCTAAATAGTTGGCTCCAAAGAAATATATCAATTTTTGGTAGAATACTTTTAACAAAAATGGAGAGTATGTCTAGATTAATCTATCCTGCTTTTTCAGTAGCTATCCCTGACCAATATGTTAAGAGAATAAATAAAACACAATATGATTTTATTTGGAATAATAAACAAC